GTCCCTGAACTTTAGCTTAATGTTCAATGTGGTCCCCGAACTTTTAATTCGTTCAATATGGTCCCTGGACTTTTGGTACATGTTCAATTTAGTCCTTGAACTATATGAAAATAGTCAATGTAGTTCTAGAACTTGAATTAATGGAAGGACTAAATTGAACATTTTCATATAGTTCAGGGATTAAATTGAACATGTACTAAAAGTCTAGGGATCACATTGAATGAATTAAAAGTTCAGGGACCATATTGAACATTAAGCTAAAGTTCAGGGACTACATTGAACAAATTAAAAGTTCGGGGATCAAATTGTATATTGAACCAAAGTTCAGAGACTGTTTGTGTCATTTTTCCTAAATATTAAGACGGTGATAGGAGAAGTGTGCCCGAGAGGCTGTGCGGTGCAGGCAACGAGTTGACTGTGTGGATTGAGGAAAAGATGCCGTAGCGAGACAGATTCGGCCAGATACTATCAGACAGAGAGGGAAAGTGAAAGCTCATTAGATTTTTTGGTTTGTCTTCAAGATCAGACAAAACCAAAGGACCACACGATCTTACGACATTTATTAGTATGATCATTAAAAGTTCAAATGCTTTTCCTTTTTTTTTTTTAAAGAAATTTCTAAAAACCTCAAATTATACTTACTGTGACATATTTATCATAATCTTTTTTTTGTGGCACTAAAAATCTTAAACTTGTTTCTGTATGATATATTTACCCTACGTCAATATTCCGTCAATGAGCAACGTTAAAAATCTGCTTTTATGGACGGCGGAAGACAAACTGTACTGACAATGGTGCATGCGTGGCTTAAATAAAACAAAAACAATGTCGTTTTGGCTAAAAAAATCAACCGATTGAATCTTGATAGAAGGTAAACGTGTCACGCAGGTACAATTATGGGGTTTTTTATATTACAAGAAAAAGTTTAGGGTAAATGTGTTACGGTAGGTATTGTTTGAGATTTTTTACGTTGTAAAAAAATGTATAAGGTAAATGTATCACAATAAACATAGTTTGGAGTTTTAATACATTTTACCCATCTTTTTTCTTAAGGTTCAACTAGCAACACGCAGGTAGTTTGGCGAAGTCTCTCTTCAAAATATATTTTGAGTGACAATCATGTCACGTGACAATGATATTCAAAGAAACAAGCCAATAAGAAGTTTAAGTTGAAAGTTGATTCATGGGTGATACGCGAATTTGCTGGACTGGATCGAACAAATTGAACTCCTCCTTTTGTTTGGATTCGACGGAGCTTAAAGAAATGACACTAGCCTATAACTTGGGAAAGTACGAGAGACTATCGATCTATAGAAGGTTCTTTTCCTTTTAAACATACTTTTACAACGATCTTTTTATCATGGGATCATAGTATGTGATTCAATTGGGAAATCCCCCTTTAGGCCTCGGATAATTAAGTAATATTCGCAAAACAGTATAATTTTGGGTTTGAGTTTCTCTCTCTCTCGTGCAAAGAGATCGACGAGTGGTCTACCATGTAGGGGTGAGCAACATAAAACGGCTCAGACCGGACCGGACCGGCCGGTTCTGAGCAGTTCTCGGGGTACCGGTCCGGTTCCATAAAATTGGAATTGATAATTTTTGGTCTGGTTCCTGGTTTAATGATGGAATTGCCCACTCGAACTGGACCGATTATTTTTTTATTTCTTAAAAATATTAAAAAAAACCCTAAAACCTAATCACAATCGTACTTTCATACTCGCTCTTCCCACCCCCTATTCCCTCTCACGCTCCCCATTTCCCCTCTCATGCTCGCTCTTTCCATCATGGCTCTCACGCCTCTTTCACATCACAAACCCTAATCGCTCTTTCCCTCTCATGCCTCTCTTGCTCGATTGTCACTCACGGCTCCCTCAGTCACTCTCTCAGTAAGAGAGACGATCATGAGTTTGCAAACGGCGATCAAGAACTGAGCTTTGGACTTAGCGTTCGAGAGGACAACCGTTGAGCAAAGGACAAGCAATCAAGCGGGACAACGCTTAACAAACCCAATGGGTGTGCAACGTCGCGATGGTGGCGAGGAGACAGCTGGGGCTGCGAAATGCGTGGTGAGAGCACGCAAAGGCTGGCAACGAGGAGGACTAAGGCAAGATTTTGAAGCAATCGTCGCAGTAATAGCTAGTTGAAGAAGAAGAAGGTGGCTGTTTGGTGAAGGGAAGAACAGAGTAGAGAAGAATAGGAGAGTCCATTAGGACGATTTGGCCGCCTTGCAGCGGTTGAGCCGCCACTAGAGCCCACACTCTACCTTCGATCTCGGCGGGGTTCCTTTGCTATCCTACTAAACACTACCTATTACGGAGGCTTGGTCACGTATTATTCATGGCTTTTTATCATGGACGAACTTGATTATGCTTCATCGATTACAAAACCATGGGTTGTAGTTAGTTGTGAATCCACTGGTTCCATAGGACACCTTGGAATAGGACCAGACCGTCCGGTCTAATTCCTAGGATCAGATGGTTCAGTTCCCACTTCCAAAAAGTGGGAACCGGTCTTGTTGGTCCGGTTTGCGGTTCCAAGATGGGAACCGGATCACTTTGGAATTGATCACCCTACCACCTCGGGTCCAAGGTCAAGCACGTGAGAAATGGTGCACACTAAGGGAAGGGGAAAAATTCGACCAACCAAAAAAACAGAGAGGGGAAAAAGAAGAAAGGGAAGAGAGATCAAGATCTCTTATTAGGAACATTTTTTTTATAGTTGTTATCATGTGCCAATTTAGTTCATAACCTTCAATCAGAGCAATTCATACACGGCAGAACACTAACCTAACTCTCGGTTCATAAGGCGCTCTCTGCCCCTCTTTCTCTCTCTCCCCAAGTCAAGTCATATTGACAACCTAGTAGAAGGATTCTCGAATTAGGATGTTATATACATGGCATGCATTGGTCGGATTACTTTAGACCGAATCACTTTTTCTAGGGCAATCTCTACTACTTCAGAAGGAAACAAAAAGAAAAAACCTTTAGAAACGTGTGAAATCTGGCTCTCGCACGGGTACAAAAAGAGAAAACAGAGTCTATGAGAAACGCAGTCTAGAGAAGGAAACGAAATCCCTGAAAAAAAGATGTTTCCTGTGGCCAAATATGTCCGACAAAACTTGGTTTTCCTATGCGGTTCCAGGGAGATCAATGCATTTACCTTCATATTTCTATGTTCATAGGCCTGTGAATAGACCCTATATATCAAAGACCAGCTATTCTTATGTCTACTATACTCTATTTTGTTTATTTATTGATTAAATCTCCACATAGCCTGTATTACTATGACCCCTCGTGTAAACATATATAGATTGCATCACTTTGCACGAATTTCAGTTTCTTGGACAATCTAGTTTCCATGTAGATGGGAAGGTGAGCTTGAGAATTTAACATGAAAGCTTACAGATGGGCCGAGTCACTATCGATCATGTGGAGACTCATGGCGTTCATGTGCCGCAGGAATGGCCAACAAATGTCATTAGGCCCATCCAGGCCACAAACATCAGATTGATGAGTTTGAATCGCCTCTTTCTTTCAGGTTAAATCCATCCCAAGATGAAGTGAAACTCTAGCTTAATCAAGAGCAATGCTCTTCAATCATTTCAAACTTAAACCCCATTTTAAGTTTTTATTACATGACTTCCGAAATAATCAAAGAGGCGAACACGATGTTTTATCACATGAACCGGGGCTAGAACCGGGTCTAGAGCGACGGTCCGGTAGTAAACCCGAGTAATTCAATAACTTTGCACAGCGAAGAGTAAACTAACACACACGTCAAGCCATCATAGCTTCAGCTTATTCTTCCTGCCCATTTTTGAGAAGAAATAAGCAATCAAAGCAAAGAATGAACCAATGGAGCACATGAGCCAAGAGAGGAAGAACGAAACCCGGTCCCCGAGCTTCTTCTTTGGCAGGTGGGCTCGGTCCACCTGCACTAGCACCCAATAAACCGCTTTGGCCAATGCATAGGCGGCGACTGGGTCCGACTCCTCGGGCAAAATCCCCTGCTCGGTCAAACACGGGATGTCATAAACCCTGGTCGTCTCAGCCACTCCTAAATACTCGGAGAGGTGGGCGAGGTGAGAGCTGAGACGGTGATCATTTTCTTGAATTCTCGGGCTGCTCCTCCACCAACAGCAGGATGATATCAAAGGGCTTGTTTCTTGATCTTCTGTGCTGCTTCTCATTGTGCGCATGAGTCTTTTCTTCTTCCTTCCAATGTGGTTTGCATTGTACAAGAATGGAGTCTGTGAGTGGAGAGAGAGAGAGAGAGAGAAAGAGAGAGAGAACTATGGGATACGGTTAGTTCAGTGGGATAATGTCCATTATAGACAGGTAGGTTATGTAATGTAAGAAATGGAAAACTTCCGGAGTTGCTGGAGGGTGCCGTTAAGAGGAAACTTTCAGACGCTGCAGGTCTGCATGTGGCGTATACCATGCTCGCAGAAGACTCGCACGTATGTCAATAGTTAATAACAGACATGGATGGTCTCTGATGTGTATTCTTGACGCTTTATTTTTTTGTGATTTACTATAGTTATGTCTACATGACGATAGATATTTTGTATGCCCATTCCGATGGACGATTCTATAATCTCAAGAGGTACTGTGCCTCTAGAATTTTTCGCCGCTGGATTGAACACGATAGATCTCAATCCGAACAGTAACTATTTTTGTTTTTGGATCCAGTGGTGAACAATCTAGGAGGTGCCTCGTGAGAACAGTAGACTCATCCGGTTTCAAAATGCTGCTATAGAAAGGGATATATCTTTGCTAGCAAGTGGCAGCAGATAGAGGTGTAAGACAAACCAAATGAATAGTAATGCTTTGTTTGGGAGCAAACTGAACAAATTCATAGGTAATTTGCTTCGATAATCATGCGTGGTTTCTTTGTTGGATAGAAAGAAAGAAGAGACTTGCCTTCCTTTCTCTTCTTTCATATTGTCAATGATAATTGGAGAAAAAGTGACCGCAGTTCACATAGAATGCATGTGATAATGCTGAAAAACAAAATCTCAAGGAGTTGCCTTTCTAATTGTAGTACATCAGGAATGAGGTTTTCAGATGTTGTGTTCAACAGAGATGCAACGACCAGCCGAAAACTTCTCAAATCTAGAAAAGACTAGCAATAGTAAACTGACTCAGAATAGATAGACGATGGGCATGCAAAGAAGAGCCAAAGCATTCAAGCGACCAACCTCATAAATGAACGTCTTGAGACACTCAAAAAACTCGACATCACAATCATTGATCAAGGGCATGAAGGTCAAGTCTATAACCTGCTTGTTTGGGACGATGTAGCACACACAGACGTGCTAATGGACCCCTTTGACCATAACAGACACCAGACTGACTATGGCAGTGCATCCAGACATACCAAGCTGTTCTGACTTCAATAGCGCCCCCGATGTGAATATCAATTGCCCCAACGTTAAATCCCTGCAATCACAAGATAATCATCAGCATCTTCTAAGACAAAAGACCAAAGTTCCTCGGTTCTCTGGTTTGATCAACTTAAAGCGCCCACTCGTCAGAGACTACCCTATAGATAGCCCACAGTCCACACTAGCTTTTTCCAAAATGTACATTATGCTAATTGGCCAAAAGAAAAAAAAAGTACATTATGCACTTACTTTTACCTTCAATTAAAGTTGAATCCACCAGATGGAGGTAGTCCATTGCCTCCGAAGTTGAAGCCCGGTTGAGCATTTTCACCTGGAGGTACTATCTCATCATCTTCCTCCACCCAATATGTCTCAAGAAGCTTGACTGACTTCTCGTAGATCTCATTGTTGTCATGACTCTGAAGATTCTCAATCTTCTCCAGCCCCTCGGCATCATCTATCATCTGGGCATAGACATTATCGCCAGTATTGCCCTGTTCCTTCTCCGCTTGCCCAACCTTCAGAACATTCTCTAGTCCTTCTAAGCAGACAGTTACAATCCTTGGATCAGGGCACACAAGCAGATCACATAGTGGCTTGATACATCCTTGACTCACCATATACCTACCGTGGAGAAGGAGAAATAAGAGCTATATATTCATGAAAGCATAAAGAAACAAGGGACTCAAGGTAAAAGTTAGAAAATACATACTTGATTTGGTCATGGGTACCACCGGATGAAGCATTTGATATTGCCCAAGCAGCCTCTTTCTTTATATCAAACTCAGCATTTTGAAGTAGATTGAGAAGAGGGTCAATAAGACCAGCTTCTATGACAGCCTACATCAAGTCAGCAGGCAATTAACACAACTTCCTCCTTAGAGTAGCTTTCTAGGTCAGCTAGGTCTTAAATTCTTGATGATTCCTTCGATTAAGCATATGACCAGGGAACTCATGTACTGATAGAGGACAATGCACGTACACTTCATTATCTTTTCTACAACCCAAGCATATTATTTTGGAAACATTTCGTGAGACATTAAACAACATTCAAGAGATAGAGATCCGCAGCATCACACTGCACGAATGCTTTTCCTATGAAACTTCTGAAATAACCAGTACCTGTATCTGTCCACTATTTCCAGCTGTGACATTTGAGATCGTCCAGCATGCTTCTTTCTTGATGCTCTTTTTGTGATTGTGGGCCAAAAGACTCAGAAGGCATGGAAGCGCACCATTATTAATAATGCTCTGGTCAAAACACTTGCATTAGCATCATGGCTATACAAAGCACAGCTCAAATAGAGAACATCATGAAAGCATATTGACTGTGTGTTGCTGTACTAACATGACAGGGATATGTCCTCAACTAACGAGGCACCTGTTCAATAGAACAAAAGGACATAAAAAGAAAAACTTACTACTTACAAAAATTGGTTTCACTATCTAATATAAATACCTTAAACATGAAGAATTCTTGCCTCAATCACATACTATAGCATCGTGCTGAGCTAAGCAACTTTGACAAAATATGAACTAGACTACATTCTAGAACACTGAATTTGTCTATGCAAAGTCCATGACTAATTAAAAGGTAGGTCTCTCAAACCTGAGTTTGGACGTCATCTCCAGTGACAATGTTTCCGACTGTACGAAGGGCAGGAATCAGCACTGAAGGAGAAGGATGACTGTTGAATAAATATATGAATTAGTATGACATGACAAGGAGCAATAGCTGATTATTTATCAATCAAATACTTACAGAAGGAGCTCAACTAGCCGAGGGCAGACACCTGCTTCAATAACAGCTTGAATTTTGTCATTTGTACCGTCAGAAAGATAAGAAAGCGCCCAACAGGCATCTGTCAGAACTTCTTCATCATTCGAATGAATGAGACGCTCCAAAGATGGAAGCGCTGGCTTAACCAGCTCGAATGGAGGCTGTGGCTTGCCTCTGCAGAAATTTGATAAGGTCCATGTGGCATTTCTCAGCATTGAGAGCTTTGCATTTTCATTTAATTGAGCCAGTAAATGCATCAAAGCTCCATGACCCAAGACCAAATCACGGCATTTAGGCGAGTCGCCAGCAACATTTCCCAATGCCCACACAGCCTGTGGTGTACCAAAATCAACAAAACTAAAGTCCACAAAATAAAATGTCTCCAACATAAGACTTTTGCAATATATGATTTTCGAGGTCAAGAAACCATATCAGAGGATACCTGTTCACGGACATCATCACTAGGTGAGGCGAGCAGCTTCACAAAGATAGGAACTGCCCCGTGATCAATCACGACCTTGGTGTTTTCTGAGGTCCCTGATGCGACATTTGTGAGAGCCCATGCAGCTTCAAACTAAGAGATTTACAGGGAATCATGACTCAAATGCCACACAGAAATTACCAACAGAATGTTCTAAATCAATTGACAGTTTCAAACCTGAAGCTGCGGGAAATCTTCCCTAAGTAGAAACTCTACAAAGCGAGGAACTACACCAGATTGTATAACTTCCTCAATTGGAGGGCTTCTCTCTGAAAGTTAAAATTTTGCAGCTATATCAGTCTCAGTGCAGGTGTAACACAAGTAACTACCACCACAATGCACAAAATCTGAACTTAGATGGCAATAGAGCTTACTACAATGAAAAGGCCATACGTTTCCAACTTCAACTTAGATGGAAGAAAAGAGTAAATAAAAAAACCAAATAAAAAGCAGCAAACAAGAAGATGTCCCGATACAGCTTCCAAATACCTATCGAGAGAAGTTTTCGGAACTGTGTGGTTGCTTCCAGATGCAATGCAGAATCCGTAGACCAAACTTTGGCTACCATTGAAGGAAGACTCTCCAACTGCAACAAACATCAAAATCAGCCCACCAAAACACCATTCTCCAATCCAACCAAGCACTCCACAATCACGAAAAAGCAAATCAAGCAATCCTAATAATGCATCATCCAACAACTGCACCGTGCTGCATCTTCATGTAGACATCGCGATAGCGAACTTCGCACAATACGGTGTAGCTGCCGTCACTCGGCACGACCATTACATCATATCCTTCTTCCCCCCTATGGCAACACAACACTGAAACGAAATCTCCCAGCATCCAGCAAACCGAGCGCCCCTCACTCAAGACCCAACACCAATCAAACTCGAAATTTCAAAATCCGAGAAACCCACCGATCACCGCAGCCAAACCCTAACCCGCTACGGCCGCGCACTCGCCGCAGAAACAACAAGATTTCGCGGAAGAAAAACAAGAAGAAGAAAAAGCAAAAGCAAAAGCACCGCGATACCTTCTCCACGTTAGAGGGTTGGAGAGGAGCAGCGACCTGCAACCCCTCGCGGCGCTTCTTGAGCAGGCTCTCCTCGCGCTTGCTCTTGCGGATCTCCACCAGGTTGTCCTCCCTGCGCCGCCGCCCCTCGTCGGCGTCCACCGCCACCTTGTAGCGGTTCCGGCGAACCTCCGCCCTCGCGCTCGGCCTCAGCGACATGGCTGGCTGGCTAGCGACACGGAAATCGAGGGTCGGAGGGATTCGAAGCGAGGGGGGGGGGGGGGCGGCCGTCGACGTCGGGTTCGGGCGACGCTAGATAGCCGTGCGACTGTGTGTGTCTGCGTTTCGTGCTGCTGCAGGGTTTGGCGAGGGAGAGAGACCGAGTCAAAGGAGTTCAAATAATTGAGAGGGTAAATCAAGGGCTCATATGTATGAACGTAGGTATGCGTATGGTATGCATGTATGTACGCACGTGATACATATGTATGTATGTATGTATGTATATTTATCTCTTTTATTAGTTTATAAGGTTTAGGATTGGAGGTGATTAATGGGAAAATTACAAAAGAAAATTTTAAACCTATTGTAATTGTACTAATACAGTCATAATTTTTTTTTTTTGCCAATTGAGCCTAGAGATGGTGAGGCTAGCCTCGCCAGGGGTTGGTGAGGTTGAACTAGCTAGCCCTCGCCTCTGGCCGGTTGCGTCAGTTCGGCGACCGGCTAGATAAACCAAGAAGGAAAAAAAAAAGAGAAGAGAAAGAAAAGAGAAAAAAGAAAAACAATTAAAAAAATCCGAAAAAAATATTAAAAAATTATTCACGTCAGTGTTGGTCTGCCAAAATTGGCCGAATGGACTGAATTGGCACAAATGCAAAAGGTTTAAGACTCAATTGATAAAAAAAATGTTTATAACTGAATTGACATAATTATAATAAGTTTAAGATTTTTTTAGTAATTTTTCCGGCAATTAACAGACCAAACTATAGGCCCAGATCCGCTAAACATGGGTCCGAAGGCAATTTTAGGTAGGCTTGTAACAATGTGTATAGCTACACGCCCCGACTCGATAATGACTCGAGTGAAAGTCCGCTCGATTCAAAAAATGGGTCGTATTCGATTCAATGGAGATGATTGTGCACAAAGACAAAAAGTTGGGCCAGAGCTCAAGGATCAAGCCTGTTCAAGCCTCTTAAATTATCTTCACTAATCTCTTGTATCGTCTATGTCGAGGATCTGATCTGATGGGCTTTGTTCTTCGATAGAATTTTACACACGGTGGCTGATTTATCTTAGGTAACGACTTTGTAATTCGAATTTCACTAATTTTGCTTCTCACGATTAGGATTATTTGGTATGTTTACCAAACCAGATTGATTTTGTTGAGAATTTCTTATGATCGGGACTTTTTCGTGGTCTTACCATACTCGAAAGAGATGGCAAGATTACCCGTGTCATCATAAGGTTTTTGTGAAAACTTAAATTAAGTCAGCGAACTGATCACATTATCATAAAACTTGAGGATTTCTTATTTTTTTGAAGAGACCATGAGCTATCGCGTCATCTCATGTTATTGTATGTATCCACAGTTACTTAGGTCATGTTAGATCATATACAAAAAGGAAATTGATTTTTCATGTTGGCTCAATTTTAAAGAAGAAAGCACTATTCAATGACTCACGGCTACAACCGAATAAAAACTATGTGCTTTTGTTACCATCCAAAGATAAGTGACGATCACATGAAGAACCCAATAATGACTTTGAGACAAGACACAATATACCATGTGCGCTTATTGAGGGAAAGTGTCTCAAATCCATTGACAGATCTCTTGAAGTTTTTTCAAGCATAAGCGTCGGGATTTTGGAGAAGGTACGCTTCGGCGACCTTGTACATTCCCAAGGCTCTCTCTTTGCCGGCTTCGATGTCTTCTTCTTTGAGCTCGACGTTACCCTTGGTGTAGTACATGCTGGTCATCTTGTTCTTGCTCCCCTCATCAGGTGTTGGCTCAAACTTAACTTCGTAAGCAATGAATTCAAATTTCTCCTTGAGATCAATCATTGTATGCTTGTACACGAATGTCTCCTCGTTCAATTCGTCCACGCAATTCTTCATTTTGCCGAGCTGACTACCTGTATACAATAGAATGAGATTGTATCATAGCATACTTGTATATCTATACAGCGAAAATGCATAATTACCTTCGACGAAGTTGATTTGCTTGATGGTTCCGGGCCCTCCATTGCCTTGGAGGATGTCGATGTTCTTGATAGCTTGAGGCCAGAGCTTGGGGATGAGTTTATGAGAGTCGACGATCAGGGCCTTGAACAATCTCACCGGAGGAACGGAGGACGTGTGCTCATCGGTGAATGTGAACACTCCCATGGTTGAATTGGGTCGTTAACTAGAAGAAATATGAACACAATTTGATGATGAAAGAGGGTTGAGATCAAGAGGCTTTTGGGAGCTTGGCATGGAAGAGATGATTAAGGAGTTGCATCTATTGGTCAGATTGAAGTGAGTCCTCATTTTTCCAAACTTTGTCCCATTGGCTACTAGATTCTACAATTTTCAGGAGTCCCATAATACAAACCTTCACATTTTGTCATGATCTCGACAAATGTCATGGGTTGATTAGATTGGGTCGTCGTTCTCAAGGAGTTGGGAATGAGAAAGGGAGTGCACTAAAGTTCAAAAAAAAGCATGTCTCGCGTTGTTTGAAGTATTGTCCAATGTCGCTTGATAACGGATCCTAAAAGATTTTTACATTCATGTGGTCCTCATCCACCTAACGATGCTCATGACGCTTGTATCTTCACGTAACACAATGACAATACGGCAAAATGATGGATCTTAAAAACAAACAGTGTAGATTATGCCAAATAAGCAGGCTAAATTCCTCCAACATTTCTTAGGTGAAACAACGAGCTCATGTGGACTTGGTTCACGGGGTGATTGGGCGATCGCGGGGTTCCTTTTTTTTTTTTTTTTAAAACAGAATTTCTTAAAAAATAAAGTATTCTTCGTCCTAAAATTTAAGAAATTGTACATTTTGATGTGTAAGTTAATAGAAGTTTAGAGAATTTTCAAGCCTTTTACAAAAGGGTCATTTTACGAGATAAAAGTAAACCGAGGGTGTTCTTGAAAAGATTTTTGGCTGGATTTCATGGGAGATATTTATGAATGCGGTAACCATTTTAAGCTTTTAAGACAGATGATTGCACGCTCGACCTTAACAATGGCGGCCATGCTATAGGTTTCTAACCGGTTGATTCCCCGTACTCCCCTTTCACGTGGTTTGCACGTTTCAATACTTTGTTGTCCTACCCAACCTTTGCTTGAGGGGAGAGTTTCAGCAGTCATTAAAACGATTGAGAAGTCGAACAAATTACTTGGTCTAATTAAACCCCAAAAGCCACACATCGTTCATGATCTAATTACATCGTCAATTGAAGTGATTCATTGCGACCGCGATCTCTTTACCGTCCTATAAACACAATGTTGTTAATCCAAGACTTATGTTAAGGTAAGGCACACCTTCAGGAGCTAAATTCCTCCTTGTCTGCCATAATCTCTAGACATTTTTGCTTATTGTCAAGCACCAGAATCAAAACTAGAAGCTTTGCAGGAGCACGGGGACTTATATCTATATGTGACTAGGCAGTACACGAGCTGAGCCGATGGCTTCAACGGAGATGGGTGTGCACAAAGGCAGGAAGCTAGGCCAGAGCTCAAGGCTCAAGCCTGTTCGTGCCTATTATATTATCACCGCTAGTCTCTGCTATACTCGTCTACGTCGAGAATCTGATCTGATCGGCTCTATTCTTTGATAGAATTTTACATACAGTGGCTTATTGATCTAATGAGGACTATTCGGTATGTTTACCAAACCTGATTGATTTTGTTGAGAATTATTGCGATCAGGACTTTTTCATGGTCTTACCATACTAAAAAAGAGATGGCAAGTTACCAATGTCAGCGTAAGGTTCTTTGTGAAAACTTAAATTAGGTCAATGAACTAATCACATTATCATAAAACTAGAGTCTCATATTTTTTTTTTCGGAGAGACTATGAGGTACGACGTCGTTTCGTGTTATTATATATATCCATAGTTAATTAGGGGCAAGATTGAGGTTTGTGATGGCAAATTAGGCCATGTTAGCTCATATAGAGAAAGGAATTAGGTGATGACCTACTTTGAGCTTTCAGCATTTCAAAATGCTACTTCCATGAATTAATGAAATTTGGTCAGTTGCCCTCTTTGCCCTCGAATGGCTCGTGACTACGACCGAATAAAAACCATGTCCTTTTATTACCATCCAAAGATAAGTGACAACGACATTTATTGGAATCAACCCAATAACGACTTTGAGACAAGACACAATATACCATGTGTGCTTATTGAGAAGGATTGTCCCAAATTCATTGACAGAGAGCTCTTGTAGTTTCAAGCATAAGCATCGGGGTTTTGGATGAGGTACGCTTCGGCGACCTTGTACATTCCCAACGCTCTCTCTTTGCCGGCTTTGATGTCTTCTTCTGCGAGCTCGACATCGCCCTTGGTGTAGTATGTGCTGGTCATCTTGTTCTTGCTCCCACCATCCGGTGTCGGCTCGAACTTGACTTCGTAAGCAATGGATTCGAACTTCTCCTCGAGATCGATTATGGTATACTTGTACGTGAACGTCTCCTCGTTCAGTTCATCCACGCGATTCTTCAAGCCGCCGAGCTGACTACCTGTACACAACAGAAGGAGATCGTATCACAGCACACTTGTACATCCGTAAGGCGAAAAATGCATAGTCACCTTCAACGAAGTTGATCCGCTTGATGGTTCCGGGCCCTCCATCGCCTTGGAGGATGTCGATGCTCTTGATAGCTTGAGGCATGAGCTTGGGGATGAGGTTCTGGGAGTCCAAGATCAGGGCCTTGAACAATCTCGCCGGAGGAATCGAGGATGTGTACTCTTCGGTGAATGTGAACACCCCCATGGTTGAATTAAGTCGTTTGCTAGAAGAAAAATATGAACACACTTTGATGATGAAAGAGGCTTGAGATCAAGAGCTTTTTGGCATATAGAAGAGATTGATGAGGAGTTGCATTTGTAGGTTAAGATTGAAGGAGTCCTCATTTTTCCAAACTATGTCCGATTGGCTAATAAATCTACAATTTCTAAGAGTCCCCAAACACAAACCTTCGCATTTTGTCATGATCTCGACAAAAAAAAAAAATGTTATGGGTCGATTAGATTGGGTCGTCATTCTCAAGGTGTTGAGGACGAGAAAGGGAAGGCACTAAAGTCCGAAAAAGGGTATTTTTCACGTTCATGGCGATCGTATCTTTCAGTAAGACAATGACAATGTAGCAAAATGATGGATCTTAACAACTAACATGTAGATTAGCCCAAATAAGCAGCTAAATTCCTCCAACATTTCTTAGGTGAAATTACACATTTTGATGTGGAAGTTAATATAAGTTTCGAGAATTTTTAAGCCTTTCACAGAAAGGGTCATTCTACAATATAAATATAAACTAGGGTGTTCCGGAGAGAATTTTTTGTTGGATTTCAGGGGAGATATTTATGAATTTCGTAACTGTTTTAAAAACAGATGATTGCACACTCGACCTTAACAATGGTGTCCTGGCTAGAGGGTTTCGAGCCATTTGATTCCCCGTATTCCCCTTTCACGTGGTTTGTATATTGCAATCCTTTGTCGTCCTACCTACCTTAGCTTGAGGGGAGAGTTTTAGCGGTCATTAAAACGACCGAGAAGTTGAACAAACTACTCGGTCTAATTAAAACCTGAAAGCCACACGTCATTCATGATCCAATTATATCGTCGATTGAAGCGATTCATCGTGACCGAGAAGTTGAACAAATTGCTCATTGTCAAGCACCGGAATAAAAACTAGAAGCTTTGCAGGAGCACGGGCACTTGTATCTATATGTCACTAGGCAGTGCACAAGCAGAGATGACGAACGGCATATTCCCTATTAGCAAGTGTGGCTCCAATGTCAATGACTACTTCATTTGGCATATATACTTTTATGCTCCAATTGTAAGTTGCATGCTCTGCTTCAAATTTGTCATCAGCTCAGAAAGATGCTGTCTCAAGATGTTTTACCAGCATATGCTCATGGAGAAACGGTTTCGTGGAATCGCTTTTCGGAATCAACTTGTCTCATCACGCATTTCCTACCCTCCAATTTGATCTGTTTTTTTCGTTCAAAATGTGCACAATCTGGAGCTGGATGCTTAAACAGCTTCACAGGGCAAGGACCTACAAGAAACTTGTGCTGTTTCTTGCCAAAAAGAATGACATCCTAATATTCATTTCTTGTCTCATAAGACAGTAAATACTCATTCCATGAGTAGGAATTGCACCAAGAGAAGATTCCCAAGTGTTCCTATTCTCCACCCATTTGGTTTCCCGACGATACGCCTCGCGAGATATCGGTTCTGCAGATGACAGATCTTGCAGTTTGCATTCACTTTGCAGAAGATTTTGTCCGAGTGTCCGACTCTCCTTCAATTCCGCTTTGAAAGACGAGGAAAAAACCTAAAATGGCTTCTGAGAAGGCCGCGTTCGGAATGGAAACGGGCACGAGCAGCAACCAAGCGACCTGCGTGGCAAGGGAGCATAAGTTGGAGGGCGCATCGAGCTCCAACTTGGGGAAAGTGCTGGTCCAGAGAGCGCTTTTTGGGTCGCACCGACGCCGGTTTGGCGGTAAAAAGAGTTTGAGCGAGGCTGTCAAGTCGCTCCCAAGCAGGCTAAGCAAAGTTTCCTTGGCTGAGGAGCACAAGACTTAAGGTATGAACAAGCCTTCTAACAGCTTAGAGTTACAAAACGACTCTGATTTGATACAAACAGCCCAGTTTCCATGTACATGAGAAATATGAAATCAATGTAACGTAGCAAGTGTTGATGAAGCTGTAAATTTCTATGATTAGTTAGACAAAGATACGATATAACCACGAACTTGGCGGTAAGGAACTTGCGTATGATTCTTTAGGGCGAGACGAGGGACATCGAATCTCATGATTTCGCGAGATTTTATGTGATTTCGAGCATTGATTTATATCAAACAACGGTCTTGTTCCGACTAGAAATAACGGATCGACTCATTGAAGTTCCATACAATGCAATACACTGCCGTCTACCGAGTTCGAAATATCTCGTCCTGTTTACTTTAGCCCCTTCGCATGTTGTCATCTGAATAGTCACGCGTAAATGCTTCATATGTTCAAACAATCTCTGGGAATCAAGAAAGCCCTTAACTATGGCACATTGATTGAGACCGAAGGGGGGAATTCATTCTCCATACGACTTGATGAACAACAGAGCGCGATGCATAAAACTTAGGTCATGTCTGAAAGTAAATACCGAAGTAACTACGTAGAAGAAGAATATTTAAGCGCTTCTACCGGAAAATACCCGGAAAAGAGAATTGAAGAGGAAAACAGAGATCTCAGCTGGAAGACTCTGTCATTGCAAACAACTAGGTTTCGCACCTCGTCCGGTATGCGACAATCGAGCTTTCAAACTCTCGAGTCGATGCAATAGGGCCTCTTTGATCAGATCACAAGCGATGCAACGAGCCGTGCAGGGCCACCCACCGTCGCGGGATCAACGTGGCACTCGGCAGCGGGATCCACGTCGAATGACCGTCCCGACGGACCGGTCACGTCGTTGCCGTCGGATTCGAAGTTTTCACATGTGAGGGAGGGGAGAGTGAGTCGGCCAATGTGGATGTACTTGGTTGTTGATCAGGGAACGCGTGTGGTCGGACATCAACATCTTCATATGCCTGTAGGGCTGCCCAGGTCATGCTTTTGGTAGAAAAGTGCAAGAAATCATGAGCTATGTGGAAGCTTAGTGAACCAATCCCTCCTTTGTGATTCATAGACATTTGTGATGTTAAAAGTTCTGCTTATCTCCAGCTGACAACATCTGAAAAATTCCAAACAATAACAATAACAATAATAATAACGGTGGTGTTTTATCAATCTATGATTAATTAGTATGTTATGATATGTTTATTTCAGTGAAATCGTCTGTCAATTTAAAAATGTTTTCAGCTTAGAAAACCCTTTTTTGTGGAAAATAATTTTTCAGTAGTATCGTTCCATGCGGATGCTTTCGAGTATCTATCTGAGCGAGCTTGGATAAATCTTTATACAAAAGCCTGCCCCAATCCTACATCGAACATTGGTTTTGAATCTCAATGTCAAGAAGAATCATATCGAAGTTATGATCATACCATGTCTTTCCCATGTGGAAAAAACGCGTTTAGAAAAGATTTTCATGGCAATTCTTTCTAGAAAATCCTCTTCCAAGAAGAATTATCTTCGCTTCGAGCGCCAAATCAACGTCACGTAAATTTAATCTAGTAAATTCGATCTCCGCCGCAAAAGGTCGATTGCTCTGTCCTCAAAAAAGGGACACCGGAAGTGTTATAATTCACGTGCGTCGCTCGCTTTAAAGTCGAGAATTTTCGAGCGATTATTCGAGTACAGAGAACGATTTTCTTTTTTTTTTTTGTTCGTGTTAAATATTCGAGCTGTTCGGGAGTATCGAATCGAAGTCAAATTATGCTGAGTCGCGACATTAATAATAAAAAAAAAAAGAAAGAAGAAGAAGATTGGAGAAATGAAAATGAAAGTGAATCCAACAAGACCGGCGGTGGTCCAGCCCTGGGCAAAAGGTTCTTTTGGTGTACGAAAATTGAGAGAAGGTGGAGGCAGCTGAGACATTAGTATCAGTTCAGGCGAAAGGGATTCGGGGGAACAAAGGAAGGAGGGGGGACATGATTTGACATTGCATTTGACTCTTATCTTCAAATCCTCCACCCAATGACAAAAGACTTTAACACGTGGGATTATTTTTTTTATTTTTTATTTTTTCTTGAGACGTGATATCATAACAGAAAAATCACTTCCCGTATTTTATTTTTGTTTTGTTTTGTTTTGAAAAGACAAAAGTGTTGTCCCAAAAGTGTTGCTAAGGTCTTTTTGGTCAGAAAGATTTCAAATTAAGATACGAGATACCCTCATTTTTTTTTCAAAAGAGGATCCAAAGTGGATCTTATTTCAAATAAGAATATGAAATGGCTGTATCAGTATTCACCAGTAGAGGTGAGCGTGGTCTGAGCGGGCGGTTCCCGACATGGAATCGGGAAACCGCTCACTAAGGACCGGTTCCGAGAAATTAGAACCGGTCCCATCAAATTTCACACAAATGGAGGTGATCGAGAGTGAGAGAGGGAGGTAATGAACGGCTAAAGGTGCGGCTGTGAGTTGATGAGAGTTGAGAGTCGAGCTTTAGATTAGAGATTTTATGGTTTTCATTTTTCTAAAAATATTTCTTTTTTTTTTTGGGTTGAAATTTTTCTATAAAATTATATATATATATATATATATTATCGGTCCGGTCCAGATGGGCGAGTGGGCGGTTTTACGCCTAGAATCGGGAATCGGACTGGTACTCACCGGTTCTAGTAAATTAGAACCGGTAACCAAACCGATCCTCACAGAAATTACCGGTTCCGGGCGGTTCCTGATTCCTTTGCGCACCCCTATCCGCCAGTCAGCCAAATATTCCGGCTGATCATGGACATTTTCGTCCGAAGATAATTTTTTTTATAAAAAATTTCTCCTTTCAATTCCTCCCCTGTTCATCTTCTTCTTCGTAGCCAAAGCAGTACCCGTCTTTTCATCCCAAAAGCAGTGCCGAACGGAGCGCTGCACACCTCCACTCCCTCAGGTGGTGGATCCCACCCCTCGGACCACACCTGACAGAGACCTCAGCACGTCACGCTCTTCTCCGACGTGCGTGCACGCTTTCGAGCGAGGACCCTGGCGACTCGGCCAGCTTCGACGCGGCCGAGGGACGAGCTTCAAGCTATTCTCTTCTCAAGAGTCGATGCCGAGGATCGTGCTCGTCGAGGTGGAGGTGGAACGGAGGCACGTTGAGCTGGAGGGGCGAGATGACTCAGATGCTGCTCTCTAACCCCGCTCGCTCAAAGCTCAATCTGCCCAAGCTCCTTCAGAAATGGCAACATCATCCGAGCACTGAAGTGTCCACGGGGGCTTCAGCTCATCAAGCAAACACCTCGTCGGCGAACTCTCCCCGATTGGAGCCCCGCCTTACCCAGCTCATCTTGATCTCACCACTGCCGAAGCAATTGCATCGTGTTTAAAGTATTATCACACGTCAATTGATCACGGGTCCTAAATGCTCTTTATATTCATGTGGTCTCCCTTCACCTAGCATCTTTAAGCTTTTGGGTTAGACTTTCTAACGCGTTGTTTGCCCCAATGATGGCTCGATCGCCTTGTAGCAAAACCAGAGCGAGAGCTTCAGTTCCGAAGCGAAACCTAAAAAACTCGATCTAATCCCTACGACGATAACGAGTTCGAGCTCATCAATGAGCTCCGAAACGGCCTTGAAAATCTCACAATCGAGCACGAAGCCGTCGTTGAAGATCGTTCGAATCAAGCGCATGACGGACAATTAGATGAACAGGGAAGAAGAAAAAGAAATAAAAAAAAAAGATTACCTTTGGATGAAAATGCCTTTGATCCGTCGAAATATTTGGCCAACCGACAAGATCAGGCCTTTATTTGAAACTGGCATATTTATTTTAGATCTTTATTTAAAACAATATCAACTTCGACATTAAGGCACTTTATGCTTTTATTTGGAATCTTACACTTTTTTTTTGTTTATTTTAATTTTATATCTATTTTTGGGATTGGTAGTACCTTATCCTCGGACAGGTCCTCCTCCACTAAGTTCTTGCGCCCTCCCATTGCCGCCCCCATGTTTCGTCTTTTTAAGAATGTTTTGCTTCAAGCACCTGTCAAAACTCCTTTTAGATTATTTCTTTTTATAATCCCAGGAAAATAAATCCTTTATGGGGCCGCAATTCTCACAACTTTATTTCATAAGTTGACAAATGTCAATTGGGACGTACGATTATTAGGCTTAAATCCCATAGAAGATGATGATAATTGAAAGAGGAGGCTAACAATTCTCATCACATTGATTTTAGGTTTTAGCCAAAAGCCGGGAATTCAGAACTTAATGAATTACTGAATATATGATGCATCGGTGGTAGTATTTTTCGTGATATCTAGTAAGCATCTATATAACATGCCCTCTTAAGCTCGAATTGGTAGTGTTGATTAGCTTGAGTTTAAAAGTAATATCAAAGTCCGATCCAAGTTTGCAATAGATGGTGCCACGAAACCCGTTTGGAAAGCATCGTAAAACATTAGCTTTTTCGCCGGACAATGAAAACACCGTTTGAAAGCAAACACCGTCCGAATGAGCTTTCCAAGTAGATGGTGCGAATATGTGATAACACTAATGCCATTTGAAAGCGGGCGCCGCTGAATTTTATCATCGAGTAGACGATGCAAAAAGAGGGCTACGCCGTGTGAACGTGAGCTCTCGGTTTAGATCAGCCTTTGGATAGACGGTTGGAAATTGCGAAGCACTGTCTGAAAAAGCATCCAATGAAGCTCGTCTTGTGAAGACAACTGCATGTTCGGGATAACCCAATTGCTTGTGCGGGGGCCAACGCGAACAAGGTTGATCCAGTATGTGGTGAGGCCATTTGTGGCGGAGGAGGACCCTATATTGGTGCTTTTGGGGGAAAAGTGATTGTGGTAGAGAGAACTTCTGAAAACAGACGCATGTTTGTGAACAGGTGTCTTGAGTCGACAGGAGTGTATCCGGGCGTGCATCCGAGTGTATATTCGATTGTGCGACGGGTGCCACGTGCACCCACTACACTCCAAAATTTCCTCAGGATCGCCGTACTCTAATACCGACTTAGAGAATGAGGAGAAATGACGGGACAATCGAATTACTAATATGACGTATCGATGAGATAGGTGGATGGTATTACGATTTCGGTTTGTGAGCACTCAAAAGAGCATAGAAAATCTAGGATTCACTGCATAAGATCTCTACACAGCACAATGTCAACATTTTGGACATTATCCGTGACGATAATTATCGTCAAATGATGGTGGAGGGATCGCAGGATCGCGACAGACACAGGCCCTACCCCCCCTTTGGATCAGCTGGGGACAAAGGAATTCAGCTTGGGACAAAGGAATTGCTTGGAGGATATGTGGCCTTTAGGGAGGATCTCCAAATTATCCTGCCACACACTTTGGATGGCCCTCCGCTCAAGTCTGTTTACACAGAGAACAGCGGCGAGTGGGACTGTCAAATTGGGCCGGCGTAGCGGCAGACACGATCATCCGTCGCTACGCCGGTCCGGCCCGTGACTGCCGGCACGGATCGTACCGATTTTGATGCCGAGAGATCCGATACAATCGGTTTCCCGAGCCTAATCAAGAAGATCGAAATGGAGTTTAGCCCTCTAATTAGCAGATCCGATCCCGATTCTACGAGCATACCCGCTTTAGATCAAGAGTCATACGCATTTTACACTGATGATAGGTCGGGCAATGGCTGGAGATGAAAGTGAGCAGACTACAAAGATGAGGAATCAAAAGGCATGGTGGCTTTATTGTGCATGCCTATATAAGTTGAGGCAGATAAAGAGAGGTACGACTACTGGAGCTAAGCATCATCAGGGCAGAAGAAAGCAACAAAATGTAACATTTTTTAAAAAAAAGTCCTTTTCATTTCACTGTAGTTTTGGATATGGTTTAGCACTTTCCACGCTTCCCCTGGCTCATCCCTTCTCTATATATACCCAAGTCTCAGCTCTCAGTGTCTCACTACCCATATCACGAGAAATACTGCACAGAATCTGATAAGGAACAGGTTTTTTTCTTTCTAGATTGCGTTATGTGTGAATTGGAGCACACGCAATCTGATACTGAAAACAAGAGACCGCCGAAGCTGATGCTGTTCGGCGTCCCGGTGGCTGGGTCCGACGAAACGCCGGTGACCGCACCGTGTGATGGAGAAATCAGGAGATTCGAGTGCCAATATTGCGGCCGGGGGTTCCTGAATTCTCAAGCGCTGGGCGGCCATCAGAACGCGCACAAGAGGGAACGACAACGGGCCAAGCGAGCCCAGATGATCAGCGATCGTCATCAACGGCCGTTGCTGATAGGGGGGCCCATCATCTCCACGCATGCGGCGACGTTCGGACCGTTCGTTCACTCCCACCAGAGAATGCACGGTGGATTCGCCACTTCGGCTAGGTTCTACCGTGCGCCGCCCCCGCCGATTCCGATGCAGTCAGATGGCAATTCCGGCCAATCTTATGTGGTACGGGCAGAGTATACCCGAGCCATGGGTCGTATCAGTAGGCCCATGGAATGTCCCCAAGTTGAGACAAACGAAGTCGGGGTTGACCTACGCTTAAGCTTAGCATCAACCTCCACTCCACAACATCATAAACCGGCAAGATTTCTGGATTGAGTGTGAGTTTAACTAATTTTCCGGAGAGACTTATTCTCTCGGCAATGTCTGAGTTTATGCTATGCTATGAATGCCCATTTTCATCAATAATGTATTCAACCATATTAGGAATATGATTTTTGTTTCTAAATCCAGGAGAGGCCAATTCCAGCGACCGAATTCATTATCCGATTATGCTCTCGACCTCAATTATACATGGAAATGGAATGGTAAAACAAATGAACATGCTCTACATGTCCTGTATAAGGTGTCAAAACCCCAGCTGAATTTACAATATCACTCGCAAAAGGAGACGTATTGATAATTTAAGTATACCTTTCCTCCGTATATTTGCCATCTCACCGGAGATCAACCACTTCAAACTTCGACTTAGAATTCATATAGACATGTGAACAGTGCTCGTAAATGGGGCTACTGTCCGAAGGCTCCTCGTGTGGGTGAAACCCGCGCTCTTGGCAATTGCGAATCACATTGACACCTCCCGGGTCGGAAAGATGGAATATTCCATGTGGACTGTAAGTTGAAATGCACGAGTGGTAAGCATGCTAACTGGTAACTCGCCGACTGAAAATTTGAGAGTGAACACATCCGCTTCGAAACCAATTAAAAAGGAAGACTGCATGCGTAAAATTACCTGGACGTGTCTGTAGGTGCCATTACAATCGCAATTGCCTCAGGCAACATAATCTACAAGTAAGTCCACAAAGCAAATTTTATCAGATTCGGTATGATTCAACCCATAAATTTGAGAGTGAACACATCCGCTTCCAAACCAAATTTTATGGTAATGAACCTATCAAATAACCTCAAATTAACTTTCCTTTCCTTATTGAGGTTAACTAAGAGACAGTACTTTAGCCTTAAAAAAGTTGTAGATACAGATTCTGCTGCTGTTATCTTTAAGAGAAGCATTCTTGTTTGTTAAATAAGCTATACATTTACTCCAAAATTACAGATGACTATGACTGCTTGTTCTTTAAAACCATTCTGCAAATGGACAAACTTCAAGTTGAACAGCTAAGACTACAGTATACATTTTAGAAAACAATTTGACTGTAGCTTTAACAACATGGCATGCCATCAGAGAGAAGGAACAAAATAATTACCTGATATGAATAATGTGTGTGCAGATCCACTGATGACATGAAGCAGGTCTGAGATGGATGCGTCTGTAAATTACAAAAGTACCTTAGGTATCAAGTACTAGGGTAAAAATTTTTTTTTTTTATAACTGCTTGTAAAGGTACATCCAAAAAAGGAAACTATACGATAAACTGAGCATATGCATCTCCTGATATAATTGCCCTAAGAATTCCTTCCCTGTTAACTGGCAGTATTAGCTGTGGTGGGACCAATAGGGGGTTCAATAAAGACGGAAGTTGAGCAGGCAACTAGGGAATGGAAATGAAAAACAAGAGATAGTTTTTCTCGAAATATGGATAGATGGAAGTTTAACTCCAAATTAAGGGGCTTTACAAGGAGAAGAACAGTAATTAAGTTATATTCACACTAGTCATGACAAAAGGACACCTCTTTGTGAAAATTAGAAAGAAAGAATTCAAATTTTGACAATTCACTATGGGTAACAGGTACACTGCCAACAATTGAGATATACGAAAGGTGAACTCCCCGCTGTAACATATGACCATAAACTAAAGTCGTAGAAATAATCAGCAGGCTACCGGAGAGAGAACAGACTAATGAGGATTGTAATAGTAGCTAAAGAGAATTTGGCAAACTAGGATGTAGAAAACTAAAGAACATGACACTCAGTGTCTACTTCTACAACTATTCACATTGAAATTCTCATCCCCCCGCCTTGTGCATTCAAAGTCACCTTTCTAGTTTCTATCATTAAAATAAATTTCCACTTTCATAGTACCCAGAAGAATCAGATGAAAAAGAATATCTTTGAATTCATCTACATGTTTGTATCTTTTAAACAGATGATATGCATAATGACTCTATTGATCCAGATTTGTCTTCATTTATAGCAACTCTAAAAGTCAACAATTTTGTTTCCTAATTGAAAATTTTGTGAATATCTAATCTCAAATGCCAATCTGCAGTGTCATTTTTCCATAGAATCTGACAGACTTCAAATCATGTTTTCTTCTCTTTAATACCATCCACTAAGATTTGCCTCAACAGTTAAACTATGCATAAAAAAACCAGGAAAAAGAAAGCTTGCTTCTAAGCCACTCTCAGATATATTCTCAACAATGATTTTCCCCGTCTAAGGATTTGCATCCACTAGTCTTTCCTGAATTATCTAAAATAAGTAGATGTATTGAACATATATAGTTTGACAACATCAAGCAGGACTTGCAAAATTGAGAGATCTTCCAAACAAAGTAATGGAGACATAATAAATGGGAGAAATCCATAAAAATCGGCTAAAGTCAGTCATAATGAAGATGACAGAATAGTCATTAACACTTACATGAATCCATCCAAGAGGGAAGAGTGATAATCGGTCCTGAACTTCAAATATTTCTTCTTCATTCAATGTCTGACACTGAACATGACATGACAAAATGACTAGGATGACAGAAAACTTGTAGTCAAAAGAAAAATGGATCAATTCTCCCAAGTAATAATGTACTCTCGAGAGACCAATATCCTAGATCATTCAGCATCAAATCAAGTTACCAATGAGCAAAAGCAAAAATAATTATTTGGTGACAGGAAGGTCCTTCTGTAACTGGTAAGTTACTCTCACCTAATAACAGAACTAGGATAAAAAGTCATAAGCCAATTGCCACATTGCCACATTGAATGAAATGAGCAGAACAGTCTAACTTGAATACCGGATTAGAAACATACCATATCTGAAGTAGACTCTTGCTTTGGAATAATTAGAGTAGTAATATGGAAAACCCTGTTTTTCTACAGCAAATAAAGAACAAATCAATTTTAATCGTCGGCAACCTCAATTCCAGGATGAGAAATAAACAACAAAGAAAGCGAAAAAAAAAAAAAAGAATTACAGGACTCACCAGTGAACCTGCAAGAACCCCACAAGTTTCCAAGTTCTTTGTAGTATTTTTTTGAGCCAATCGCAAAAAGTCTTGCATCATATTTACAGGCTGTGGTGCAAATCAACCAGGAAGACAAGAAAGAAAAATCATCATCGTGCAGAAAAGCAATCAGGACAGGTCTTGCCACATGAAGTACATAAGTTTGTCTTTGACGGCTAGGAGAACATGAAAATTGTTCGTAAAAGATATACTACATCATCAGCGCAGCAAACTCACCACATGCAGATGTTGATAAGAGCTTTCGTTTTGCTGCAAAGATTTTGCAGGTCCAGGTCTTGGATCTGCAACTTGAGATGGAGGGATAGGAGCAACGCCCTGCCGAACCTGAGCAAGAACAGGCGGTGGAGAAGGTTGCTTGATACCGACAAACTGGAAAGGATCTTCCATTGCTTCTGTAGCTAATACAGGCCAAGACTGTTCAGCAGGACGTGACCATCTACCATCATCCAAGGAGAGCACTGAATCCATTGTAGATCTAGGCGACCCTGGATCAGTATCTTTGACTGCCATGTGCTCATATTGACCAGTATGATTGAGGCTGTTTCGTCATTCACAAACAAAAATAGAGCTATTAAAGCAGCATCATATAGGAAATAATAAACAAGAATGAATGAATACATTCATTGATTTAATCCATTCTTGTGCAAAAAATAGAATTGGATTAAAAAGCTGAATGCAGTAGTCTAAGTAATCAATGCAACAAACAAAATGTTCAACAAGTTCAAACCTCAAATCTTCTGAAGGGTTCAAGTCTGTACTGCAGGGATATTGGACCTGCAGTTTCAAGCAACATGGTCACATCATCTTTGCACAGTATTACATGTAAAAAGTGAGAATAATATAAAGAGAAATTCTACCTTTATCTCTGCAGTGGGTCCTAGCCACTGGCCCCGAAGGCCATTTGGGCCTAATATAGAGTGTCTAGACAACGTTTCCTCTTTTGGAACTGGAAGACTAAGAGAACTGCAAAAACCTAAGATGAATTAGTGTTTCATCCTAATATGCAATTGCAGCATGCAATATAATGTAGATGTATTCTTACAAATAGAAGAAGAAGATAACGATAAAAAAAGGTGAAACAAAGCAGGTTAGGGATCAGATACTTAAATAGAGGAGCATCTGCTTTATCCAAAGGGCAAATCAGCGTTACCACCAATGTAAACCATTGAATAACTCAGCAATATCTATAATCGACCTGAAGCAATGACAATGCTCCATTATGTAGGTCGAAGTCATCTACTTTCAAGCTTAAAGCAATGAACCAAGGCAATTTAGCATCTTGACAAGTTTAATCCATTTTGCTTTAGTTTGAGTCAACCGCAGGCCCTAGGCAAAGGTTCGCTATTATTCGAACTTCCATGCATTACCTTTACATCAGATTCATTACTGAGAACTCCGTGAAATCGGAGCCACTTGAACTCGTCTATGCAAACACGGCCAGGCGTTGCCCTCAAAGGATTCCTTCATAAATATCCCTAAATCTATAAACACCACTATGGACCAATGAAGCATTCAAAATTGAGCATTGTGGAACAAAATTTGGCGGCAACCCTTGGTCAAAGTCCATTTCGAATATTTGTACAGGATATGCCGAGAAAAAGTTGCAATTCTGGCAGAAACCTCCAATACAACTTATGCATGCCTTACAATAATACAGGGAAAACTATCAAGCAGTGGCCTAAGCTTACATCTCCAGCCATATATCACTTTATATGCTTCTAATGAGAAGAAAAAAAAAAGCAAGAAGTAACCCAGTCATATCAGACCATTGATGTAAATGAAGTGAACATAATATAAATAATCTTAACAATACTCACAGCTTCTGGAACTGCTTGTCAACTTGCATGGTATTCAATAACGAACTCTGAGTTTGGTCATTTTGATACTTCCAAAGAGAAGAAGATGCCAAGCTATCAGGCTGCAGTAAACAATAAGGTCAATCAGATAACGGCCACATTTCCAGAAGAAACAGGCAAATCACTGTACAAGGTAAATTTTTCAAGCAGTGAGATTGTCTGGCCTAAAAAGGCAAGGAAAAGTTACAATGGGAAAGAAAATGTTCCATCAAAGCAAGTTTTTGTACAATGTACATGCCAAAAAAAATGGAGTGCAATACTGGGGTTGTACATCAGGAAAGCCTTCTTATATTTCTTACCTTCTTGTCTGTGCTTGAGTAAGAACTCCTACTGGTGGAGGGCCATTCCAGTGGAAGTGTCCTCGAGGCATATGCAGTTCTGTCTGAATTGTCAAATTCAAGCATTTGTGACCCTGCATCAACTTCATTTAACTCAGCCACCCGACGATGGAATTCTGGTTTCAAGGATTCAAGCTCTTCTACTACATGGAACAATTTCTGCAGAGGTAAGGCAAGAATTGAACATAAAAATGTTGTCTAAAATTCTCAAATTAGAAGAATGAACTATGTGCACCAATAGATTTCACCTTTCTATAAGTCGATCTTTCTTTAGGACGTTGAAGCTGGTAATCTCGATGAAACGGTATAGTTTCAGACACCAAACTGAAAGATATCAAAGATATGATACATCTGTACTTTAAATAAAGGAACAGAACCAAAGTAATGGCCTGGCGCAAAGCCTTTTACCTTGAAAACCTCAGAAGGATGATATACAGATCCACGATATTCTTCTCCTCCCGGTACACATTTGCCTAGACCATAAATGAGAAGATACAGACAATAAGAAAGTGCTGAGAACACCATGCCCCACAAAAGTAGCATAGACAATAACAACAAATAATGCTCATGATACTCCAACAAAACCTACTTATAAAAAACCCGATGGCAGAACTATTTCCTATTCTAAGTAGCAATAAACCAAGAGCTAATCCAACTCATTTTTAAGCGCATCATCCCCCGGCATAAATGCCGATCACCAAATAAGACCCGTCGTTCCAACAAATTTAAGCTGGTTATATCTTTCCAAGTTCCAGCACCTCTTGGATCTCAAAGGCTTCAATAGGCACTTGATTGCTCAAACAAACACGAAAAGATGACACCCCTTTCTGTATCGACGCAACGATTCGACGGAGGAGTTCAGACTTCCCGCACAAATTGACGCTAAATTAAACTCCGCGCAATCCTCATTATAGCTTGCGCCAACAAACGCTCATCGTTTAACTTCAGATGCCAAACCGCAGCATTCATCGAGTAAGCAAATGCACCACTCACATATGCCCAATCTCATACGGTGATACTTGGCACAGAAAAAAGCACTAAAATTTACCAAATCGGCAACTCCACGAATCGCCCTCTACTAGCACGGTTATCTAAGAATACTTGCATTCTCTGCAGGAGGGAGACAGACTCACGAACCCAGCTCATTCTCGAGCTAAGGCAATAAAAAAAAAAGAAAAAAAAAAGAACCCTCGTCAAATTCTCCGATTCCGAACTGCGACGGAACCGATTCGACGCGAGCAAGCTCGGGGAAGGAATGCCGAAGCGCGCGCGAATCGGGGGCGCACCGAACGCGGAGGGGGAGGCGCGAGAAGCACCTGCTTGAGGAGGTTGTCGGCGATCCGGTAGTAGTAATGGAGCGGGATGAGATTGTCGACCTCGACCCTCCGAGCGATCGAGTTGACGTCGATCCCCATCGTCTCCGGCGGCGATCGCCGGGGGGCGCCGCGACTCCGATTCCGCTCGCTCGCACGCGCGCGCTTTCTCTCTCTCTCTCTCTAGAAGGAGAAGCGGAGGTTGAGAGAGATCAACGATCGGAAAAACTTGTCCGTTAAGGTAAGAGGAGGACGCCGGAGGAAAGGAGGCTCTTCTCGCATCGCATCGCATCGCATGTCGACATGATGGTCATGATTTATTTTATTTCTATTAGCAAAAATGGTTTTTTTATTCCTTTTAATTTATTTTTTTTTGAAAAACTTTTTAGTTTGGCTGCTAATTAATTTATATCGTGCTATGGTGTTCATTACCAATTTTTTTTTTCCAATACGATTATAATATCTTCTTCTTTTTTTATTAAGAGCGAGTGAAAATGTGTCGATGAGCATTAATTTTGCGACTCATTCGAGTTCGAATTTCTCTCGACGATCGTAGTTGGGTTTGAGTATCGTCGCTCTTAAAATATACTTCCCGCTTTATGATTATTAAACGATGTTCACATGGACAGGTGACATCGCCAATCAACGAGACTGATAGTCTTAAACCTTTTGAAAATTTGGCAATGTAGTCATAAACCTATTATTTGGATAATTGGCCAGAATGACTAAATTTAGGACTAAATTGGCAAATAATTAAAAGGTTTAGGATTAAATTGGCAAATCGTCAAAAGATTTAGTACTGAATAGACAGTCGTGTAATAGGTTTACAAATTTTTGGACAATTTTCCCTCATCTAAAGTATCCCGCATGCCGCATGGCGGATGATGTGGGTACCATGCTCCTGACGTGGCAATTTTATCATTTAAAAAGTTTGAAAATAAATCAACAAATTAAAAAATACACGATGTCGGCCAAAAAAACTACAAATAAATCGGATTTTCAATATATAAAAGATACTGTAAAATACAAATAAAAAAAAACCGAAACAGGTATGCTCCTTCACCACCTCCTCCTCTTGCCGGCTTGGCCGCCGTCCTCCTCCACCTCCGCTCCGTGACAATCATCTGCAGCCGCCGATGCCGCCCCCCCCAACTGGTATGCTCCTCCCCCTCCTGCCGGTGTGATTGTTTTACTTCTACAGTGCTCTGACTGATGTTATGTACAATGCATGGTGTTGTTGTGATATGAAGAAGGTAGTTCGTTTATGATTCTTGGTTGATTTACCATATGATTAATACACGTTATTTTTCTTTGAAATTTGAATAGATGATACAATTACACAGGCAATTGGGCAGAAACTATCGTTTTAAAGAAAGCGATGCATTTTTTCTGCACTTATTTTGTCCATCTAGTCAAGAGACATGTCCAATTCCGAAGAACCGTGCAATTGGAAACATCTAGGTTCATTCTTTTGGTCCATAATTAACATTTCCATTCGTGGACCTAAGAGAGGCGAGTCGCTCTCGGCGGGTAGCGAGGCGGCGGCGGCGGCGAGGGGACGGGGCTAGTTAGATTAGCAGATAAAGGAGAGAAATAGTGAACAAGTAGACTTGATCTGGTTCGTTTACTATATGACTATGCTGCGATTGAACGCACAAATACATAGTGAAAGAAAGAACGAGTAGACGAGCGACACAGTGACGGGTAGCAACCACCGGCAGCTGCCGGCAGTAAGCTGATCTGTGCCCTTATACTAATCCTCATGCATCATATCATACACATCATCATCCCATCTAGGTATTAAGTATGCTATATTCCAGTAACCGTTTCATACTATTTGCCCACATCAAAACCAGATAAAGACACCCTTTTAAGGCACATCATCTTGTTCCAACAGTCCATGTCAAAGGAGGAGCAACGCCCCCACAACCACCATCAGGATGGAGAAGATGGCCTGCTTGGCATCCTTAGGTGCACCGTCTCCTTGGGCTTGAATGTGCTCGGCCACATTGAAGTCACCTGCGAAACCACACAGCGAATGATCGTTAATCTTGCTCGTCGATGCCGAGAGGACGTCGATAGCATGTTGTGAATTTCGATGCGGAAAATATATCACGTGTGGAATATCTGTGGATGAGTTTGTGAAGAGGCGTCGTTTTCAAAAAAACCCCGAGACTACATGAACTGTTTATTCATCACAGTGAACTTGCCGGTGAAAGAGAATATATGTGCAAGCACCATATTACGTCAATCGTAGAACATGTCAGTTATGGCGATACAAGTACATAGGCAATTCTCGCAAAGTTGGCGGAACAAACCTCTTTGGGGTCCATAGCTGCACCCTTCGTGAACTGTATCTTGGATGTCCTTTATCGTCGCATGGTTGTCAAAGATGTAGTGTGACAAGACCCCGTCAATGCACTTGAGCACCAAGTTCGTTTCGCTCAAGCACGGCCCGTGACAAAACTCATCGGTATATTCGGGAGGGACATGGAGGTCTCCACTGTGATCCAACCTATAGGATTCCTCACAGCTCTGATAGATCTACAGGATGAAGGCAAAACACCAAATTAGACCAAAAGAATTACATCACACTGATAAATTCTCTGGAGAACTTGGAATGCTTAACCAGTTGCTTAGAATATAACACAAACGAGCATTTAGCATTGTTATGTTGAGGAGGTTCCTAACTTCTGCTTACATATTTGTTATCGAAGCAAAGCAAAGCTTTGGCAATGATTTCAGGCGTTTCGAACCCTCCTTCCTCGCCTCCTCCTGGTGGATAAAACTCACCACCAGTCCCTCCTGCCCCGCCTCCCGATGGATTAAAACCACCCCCGGAGCCTCCTGCTCCGCCTCCCGCTCCGCCTCCTGCCCCGCCTCCCCCCGACGGATTAAAACCACCACCGATCCCTCCTATCCCGCCGCTCGGCTGATTAAATCCACCACTGCCTCCAACCTGAGTCACTTGCCCGTTGGCCGTTCCTGGATGGACCATGGCAAAAAATAACTACTCAGCATCAACTGAAAACATAAATTTCATTTTATATAAAGGAAGTAAAAAGAGAAGATATTAAGCATCACATACCATAGTTACGGCAGAATACAGACAAACATGCAAGAGTAAAGGCATAGACCCTCAGTCTGGTCGTCGATGGCAATGCCATTGGAGAAGTTTTGCAGAAAAACTGAAGCTCAAGGATGAAACAAGACTAATTAATATTTGAGTTGCTTTTTATAACTTTGAGGTCATACCAAACCTTAGAAATGTCAGGTTGGATCCTAAATTGCATGCATATTTAAGCCCCAGAAGGATCAACCTGAAAATGACAGCGCTTGTGTCAAATATTTTATAGATGACCCACCTTTAGTCTCTCTCATTTCTACACTTTTTAACCATCTGGACATGACCTACCATTCTGGACAAGCAAAATTTTCAATCGACCGGTGAGTAGAGAATCCACCAGATGCAAATTAAATGACTCCTTTGCCTAATATAAAAATACTAAATGCACAATTCAGGTAGGTTCAGTTTGGAAAAAAGAAACGAGGGATGAATCAGACTTTCTTTTGGCAAGATATTTAAGGCAATGAGGATGACTTGAGAGAGAGAGAGAGAGCAGTTGGATAGCCAGCCACCAAACGCAAAAGCTTGGTGAAGGCATTTAACTTAATTGAGTGTTAAATTTCAAACAACCATGATTTCTTTAGCGGTGACATTCTCTTTTCCTTCTTCTACAAGTAGAGATTACGTCCCATGAGAGAGAATTTAACAAGTAGCTTGTGTTAGCCAAGAAAACCCCTGCACGAGAGCCAGTTAATTGCATGTATAGACCAAGTGGTCAAACCTGTGTAACTTGGGAAAAAAAGTTACAACAGAAATTCTTTAACAAGCTTGATTGTCTTCTAGAAACTTGTTACACCATTCAGATGAAAAACACTGAAAAACTATTCAAAGCAAACAAAGGATTCGACCGACCTACAAAAAAAAAAAAGCAAACAAAGGACAGATATATAAATTATTAGAAAAAGGCGTATGCCGAAAACCCAATGTGTGATGTGCTCTATTCTCAAACCCAGGTACATGTCTAGGAACAAATGTGGTACAGTATGCTCACAAGAAACTCAGTCTGTGCATCCGCCCACAGATTCAGATGATCAAAGAATCTAAACGGTAATAGCGTACAGGTGAACTTTATTCGCATTACACACAATGTTAGGAGTATAATATCCATGGTCATTAACCACATTAACTTTAAATTGTTATCATGCTCCTCCGTGCAAAGCACACCGGGACAGCTCTCAGTTCCTCCAAGTAACCGAGTAATCTGAGGAGGAAGCTTATGGAATGATTCTGGCACATCTTCGTATGACAACACTGATCTTCCGATCCCCTAAAGCCAACTTTAAGTACAGAATATCAGGGTGGCTTCCTGTATTCAACATTCCCACGATTGAAGTTCACTTTTCACCTTTGTAAGACAATGCCAATTCACAATGTCCAGTCCTTGACTTCGACAAATTACTGATGACAATCAGTTGGACCAACGGTTAGAACAATTTTCCGGATTCTTCTGCCCACCAAAAAAAAAGCAACCAGATTCAAGCTGCAAGAATGAAACACATGACTTAAGCAATAAACTATTCATCAGATGCTCATGACTCTGGTAACTCTACAAAAACTATCAGGATATGTTATCTATTGTCGCATGTATGACCCAACATCACAACCTACAAAAAGATGTCGATAGCCTCATGCTTTATTTTAACTACACAGCATCACGACACTGATCTTGGACTAACACCCTCGTTGAGTATGGACAGCGTATACTGCATGGTAACGTCACAACAAGGACTCATCTAAATTCATGGTACTCACGTACCCATATCTTAGGTCACATCCTAAATGCTGCAACAATCATTGGTCATCCCAACATGGTTAATGGTCTTGGTAGCAGAGAACAGTGCAAACTACATATCCATCGATCATTCTACAAAGACCATATATTAAGTAAGCCGAAAAATTGAAAAATGAAATCCCGGGCAAGAAGCTGTCAACAGTGTAGAAAGAAAATAGATCACTAAACCCAAAGATTGAGTTCAGCCACTCATTTGGTTAACAAACTGAAGTTGCTGAACATGTCTTGGAATAATCAGTTCCACATTTCCAACTGGATCATAATGCCAACTGATGGCGAGAAGACGTCTTACGGAACTTAATACTGGTATTACAAAGCTTCCCAAGCCCATCTTGCGACTGACACAAAGTTCAGTGAGATCTGGTAATGCTAGTCTTTCTTACGTACATAAACGCAACACCTCAAAGCATTTAGAACTTATGAGACTCCATATTAAAGGAAGAACTAGCCATCCTATCAGAGGATTGTCAGATTAAAGAAAGGAACTATGTTACCACAATGTGCTCAACTTCAGAATTGACACACGCACCTTGTTACATGGTTTGTACGCTAGATTGTTCAAATAATTAGATTTCCCTCAAATAAATGACCCAAAAATTCCAGCGGAACTTAAAAGCAATTCTGTAACAAATAAATGTGGACTGTATCAATAGCCATAGAGTTGAATTCTCCAAAGTACCTCTAGCTCTTGAATTAATAAATGCCACAAGAAAACAGAACGTTAGATGTTATCTAGTCGAATTGCCTTCAGGCTCCATGCTTTGCAATGCAGAACATACTCATGAACCCCAGTCATAACAATCCTTGAAAACCTCCCCCTATACAATAGGGATAACATTTAGAAAGATCTCTTGTTTATCCATATCTTTACTCTATATTGTTTGCCTCTCTATATTGTCATTATCAGACTTTGGCCTCTAGAAAATTGCTTGCACTCTATCAAGGTGCACATCCATTTCCATTCATGGCAAGAAGTGCCTTGGCCTCATCAGATTGCCCTGATTCATGCAATGCCTTGATTAAAGCATTGTAGGTCTGCTTTTCAGGAGTCAAACCCAATGTCAACATTGAAAAGAAGAGCTTCCTAGCCTTCTCAACACGGTTAATCTTACAACAGCTGTGAATAAGTGCACTGAAACAAGAAATGTCTGGGCTAATTCCATCTGCTTGCATTTTGCTTAGCAGTTTCAATGATTTCCCAACACCTCCAGTAAAACACAGGGATCGGATCAATATGCTGTAAGTGATAGCATTTGGAGTGACGCCCCACTCCCTCATTTCTGCAAAACAATCAAGTGCATCTTCGATCTTGTTTAGTCTACAAAGTCCATCAATTATTGCGCTAAAAGTGACAACATCAGGTTTAAAACCAAACTGAAAAACCATCTCCAGCAGTTCCTGGGCTTTTCTCATGTCTCCTTCCTTGCAATGTGCACTAATGATGGTGTTGAGAGTCACAAGATTAGGTGCAATCCCAATATTTTGCATATCTCTCAAAGTTTCCAGTGCCCTGCCCAGCATTTTGGTTCGGCAGAAGCAATCAATCAGCATATTGTACGAAAAGACATTTGAGACTTGCCCATCCTCAAAGATCCAATTTAAGTACCGATCGCCATCCTGAATTCTTCCAGCCTTGTATAGCGCTTCGATGAGTGCATAATAAGTACTGAACCCTGGCTTCACACCTCTTTCGTTAAATCTATCAAGTAGCTCAAGCACCTCATTCAGATCCAAGCCTTTCACCAAACAAACAATAGCAATGTTAAAAGTCACACCATCAGGGACATAACCTCTCTCACCAAACTTTCTCAGAAGACCAGCTGCTTCTCTTGCCATAGAATTGTTTGAAAGGCAAAAAAGCAAAGTATCGCAAGTAAATTTGATCAAGCTCGGTTCCCTTTCCACAAAGCTACACAACAACTCAAATGCCTTCCCGGCATCAGTGCATCGAAACACTCCATGAACCAATGATCTGATAGTGGCTTCATTTGGAGGCACATTCCTTTTCCTCATGGTTTCTATGACCTTGAATGCTTCATCTGCCATTTTTGCATTACAGAAACCATCAATAAGTATCGTGTACGTATACACATTAGGCTTATAACCGACCCCCTCCATTTGTTTAACCAAGCGACGTGCCTCATCCATCACGCCAGCACGGCAAACCCCATGAACAAGTATATTATAAGTGAACCTATCCGGTTTGCAGTTATCAGCAGCCATCTGCTGGAACTTCAAATAAGCCTTGTCCAACGAATTGGCTTTCACTAACGCATCGATCACCGCATTATATATCCTAGTAGTCGGACTAAAACCCAGAAAGGAAATCTGCCCAAAAACTTCATCGCAGTACTTAGCCAATCCTAACCTGCCCCAGCTGCCAATCAACACACAAAGCAAATCCTCCGTGAACCGGCCGCCAGAACTCCTAACATCCTGAATCAGCTCAGCCGACAATACAACAGGGCCCTTCCTATGCAGCGCATTGGCCAAAACAGCTCTAACCGATCGATTCTTGGCAATCCCGGGGCTAAAACTCGATACCCAGATGTAAAACTTCAAAGGGTGCACCGGGTTTTCCTGATTCTGCAAAACGCTCGCCACGGACTGAGCGCTCAGAACCGCCGCCCTCTTCGCTCTGTGCTCGTGGGTAAGCAGCAAGAACCAGTCCTTCCTCGAAAGGACTCGAGAAATGTAATGGCGATCGATTTGCTGGTCACGTGAATTGCGGTTTTCCCTGGGAAAGGTATCGCTGGGGCCCGAGTAGTGCGGAGGCTTACCTCCGCCCGGCGCTTCTCGTGCTCGGCTGATATCTCCCTGGCGAACGGGCGATTTGGGTTGGGGCTTCGAGGGGTTATCTGGGAGGAGCTTCTTGTGAGCAAAAGCTTCGTCGGAGAGGGTCGTGAGTGCAGTCGAAGCCCTGGAAGCGAGAGGAGGAAGCCGTCTCATGTCATGTCCTCCGGCAAAAACGTTCAGTAGCAGACGGAGTAGGAGAAGGGAAGGCGACGAGGGAGAGAAGTTCGTCTGATGCGGCGGAGACCGGTCGATGACAGCCCCGTTCGGTCGTGCTCCGTTGGGTATTATAGTAAAATTTAGGTCGATTCGATACTTTATTCATCAAATAATAGGCAAATTTTTAAATAAAGATCCGAAATGTAGCGATTTTAATCAAAGAAGGGCCAAATTGAATTTTATTTGAAATAAGAATATGAGTTGATCAAGCTAATCTCGAATAAGAGTATGAGCGAGCACTTGATTTTTTGGGTCGACGTACTCAAGCTCTTTTATGAAACTAACTTGTTTACTTCAGGTTCTTAATTAAAGTAATATTTACTTTGACCTATTTTTTGAGAAAATGATGATATTTTAGGTTTTTATTTGAATTTTTTTCTAAAAATCACGCAATCCTAAATTTTTTCCTGATTTGACACTTTAACCCTTCCATTAGCCCTTCCTATGAAGCTAAGTGAAGCACTTCCCTTGATGAAAACATATTCATTTGCAACAATTGAGTGGAAGAATATGCATAATTACGGGCAAAATTTATCGTGATAACGCATTTGAATTCTCAAACTTTCGTTTCGGTCATTAAGTCCTAAAACTTTAAATTTCGACACACTCGAGTTCCTTCATTAACTCCATTAGTTTTAAAATAAAAAGAAAATGCAACGTATCTGCAATGTTGTTATTTTGCCCGTCCACTAAAGTTTAATGGAGCTAACAAAGAACTAAAGTGGACAATCGTGATAAGTTCGAAATTATTTACTTTAAAGAACAATATTCATTCACCAAAAAAAAACGTTGCATATTTTGTTTTGAATTATTTCTCTTCATCCCCAACCCTTTACAGCATACGGACTATATCATTATGTGAATGTAAATTGACTCAAAAACGAAGAACTACAATACCTAATAAACCTAGATCAACTTATTAGAGTGTGCAATCACACGAAACACGTAAGGAGCGACCTCTGTCGACATTCAGAATAAAAACGCGATTCACCTAACTTAGGATAAATGATTCTATTTTCATTTTGGTACTTGTTACTTAGGTTCCCCCGGACTCGTTACATCTAAGAACAAATATGTAACTCGTCAAATGCGCTAGTCCCGGCAAAGTAGCATTTTGGGTCGCCGCCGCTGACAAATGCCAGGAAACCGAGCGTTCAATGGCACAGACGGCGAAGTCTTCACGCAGAAGAGCATGTGGCGGCCATGGCCGACGCGCTTGGTGTCGGGTTCATCCCCTCCAACGAAGAGTTCAATTTCATCGGGCGATTTAGAGAGCAAGGGCAAGTGCGGTACGAGAATTTGGACTAGAATGTGAACCGGGCATGAACAAGAACCGCGAGCTTGGCTAACGGACGTAGGATCTTGTGTGCACTCGCGCTATCCTTTTCTTTTTTTAAAAAAAATTCCTTTCGCTACACGACGTAGCCTATCAACGGGTCGGTGAAAAAGGTCTTATGGGTGTCAAAAACAACGGTCCGAATCGAAACTCGACCCTGACAGATCCGAAATTTTCGAGCCGGGTTCTCTTTCCTGTTCGAGTAAAGGGGAGAAACGATCAGGTTGTTCGCCGGTTGCTGAAACAAAGTTGCAGCGCTAGCAATTCGAGCTCCCCCTAGTCAGAAGTTTGAGACTTATCCAACACCCACAAAACAGAACACCGACAATGTACGGAAACAACCCATAGATCAATATATAAATGGCCAATCAACAATCGGAGAAACTTCTTATTCGCTGACTTTCTTTTCCTTTAATTTGGTGATTCGTTGACTTTCGATGGGTCGAAGTCAAATCTACTTTTCTGCCTGCACAATTCGAAGGATGATGAGTCCATATGAAACGTGGAGCGCCTTCACATTCGTTGCTAAGAGGTTGTTCACAGGTCAGCTCACCTAGCTATCCCGGCCCGACGTGCACGACGGCCTCCGAGGGGGTAGCTGCTGATGCTGCGTCCTCTGAGAAAAAGGAAAATCAAGAAAAAAGTTTCACGTGATCCTCTGAATATAACGCGAAATTACAAGTGATATCGGATCTTTCCGAGTTTATTAGTACCTCCAATTTGGGGCGCAGAATCTCGACCGGGACCTTCGAGCTTTGATTCGCCCCGGCGCCTTGCTGCGCGAAATCCAAGAGAATAGTTCAATCTCTCCACAAAGATTTAGATTGTCATTTACAAGCACTTGTGCCCGTCGATGTCATGATCAATTGCATTGCTCAACAAGGCATTTTTAGCTCAACACAAATCACGGCAGGGGCATTGAATTTACCTTCCACAGAGCCCAGTCAGCTGAATCAAAGAAGGCTCGTGCGTGGTCCTACATCACATGGAATAAATAGCACCGATAATCAAATTTAAACCCGCGATTCCGGACCGTAGTAAGGCGGAAAATTTTCATATTAATCTCTTAGGCTGCGTTTGGTCGTCCGGATTTCTAAACAGGATAGGACTGGATAGGATATGATAAGAAATCCTGGGATTTCTTCATATCCTATCCACTGTTTGGTGGACTACGGATTTAAAGTCGAATAGGATAAAATTTTTTTTTTTTTGCTATTCACGGGTCCGGAGGAGTCGGTGAAGGAAAAAAAGCCGAGAAATTTTTTTTGTGAAAGCGCACAAGGTGTGGGGATGAAAATGACGGCGAGTGGAGCGTAGGGTTTCTGGAAAAATAGACATTAAAAATCCTATCCAGGTCTATCCCACTCCCCTCTCGGATTTTTTTATCCGGTCTATATCCAACTTTATCCTATCCTAGACCACCACCAAACACAGGATAGGATAAAATATATCCTATCTTGGCTTTTGTCCGGTCGACCAAACGCAGCCTTAATTGATGTAATAACCTGCCTTTGAAATCAGCGGCTTCTTCTTGGGCTCCAGTCCTCCGTATCTCTTTACCAAAGATGCTTCCTGCGATTCACATGAGCAGGGAAATTCGCAAACGACACAAGGGCTAAAAAAACATAGTACGCAAGGTCGAAAGGCGGCCACTGATCTCACGACACGTGCAATCGAGTTATTTGGTCAAAAGAAAATGTTTTCGTAACGACGTCATTTTTGGCCCTGTTTTGCTCATTGTTGCCTCTAAGATGATGGGCCAGACATTATGGGCCCAACATCGAATCGTCATGATTGGGCCACACCAGTCGTGGGTCTTGGGCCCACCAGGCTTCTCAATGTTTGCCGTACTTTGCCGCCGACAGTTACAATCTTATACCATTTTTTGGGGAAAATTATCTAAAAAGTACTAAATTCATCGCGCTTTTGTCAATTCAGTCCTAAACCTTTTAAGTTTACCAATTGAGTCCTAAATCCTTACACTTGTTGTCAATTGAGTCCTAAACCTTTACACTTCTTGCTGAAAATTACTGACGTGGACACTGAGCGGTTACGTGGCATTGACATTGATATTTTTAAATAATATTTTAATAAAATTTTGAATTTTTTATGGTTTTTTTCTTCTTCTTTTTTCCTTTTTTCTGTTTTTTTTTTTTAGGTTTTAGAGTTGGCCGGCGAGGGCGCGAGCCCTTACCCAAATTCGGCGAGGGCCGCGACGCCCTCGCCAGATCTGGCTAGGCGAGGGTGTGGGGCTGCCAAGCACCTCGCCTAGGGCCGGCGAGGGTCAGCCGGTCACCCTCACTAGCTAACTCTAAAACCTTAAAAAAAAAAAACAGAAAAAAGGAAAAAAAAGAAGAAGAAAAAAACAATAAAAATTTTAGAAAATTATTAAAATATTATTTAAAAATATCCACGTAAGCACCACGTGGCCGCCCGGCGTTTACGTCAGCAATTTCCGTCCAAAATTGGCCGGATGGACTCAATTGACAATAAGTGTAAAAGTTTAGGATTCAATTGGCAAATTTAAAAAGTTTAAGACTCAATTGGTAAAAGTGCAATAGATTTAGAACTTTTTGGATAATTTTTCCCCATTTTTTGGCCAAAAAACACACAAAAAAAAGAAAAGAAAGAGAAGAAGGAAAAACTACGAAATTGAAAAGGAAAAGAATTCCTAATATGTTTAAGGTAACATCTCCATATAAAATGGCAATAAACTTATTTATAAGGTAATCACCAGACCTTCCTTATTAAGTCTATTTGCGCAACATCCCATAAAAATATTTTCATCGTCCGCATAAATTATCTAGATATAAAGTATTGCCGACGATGAAAATATTTTCAACGGGCTAATTATTTCGCTTCACAAATATCCATCTTTCACAAAACAAGCAGAATTTCAAAAAAAAGATACGATATTTTACTCGAGATTGATAGATGAATATTGGTTTAAACCAAGGTTGATGTATGAGCCTTTTTGATCTGATTGTTTCCCCTCAAACGTATCAATAAGAAGGATACAGCCCGTGTCGTGATGGAATCCATCGGGTCGTTTCGAACTCGAGCAAGCGAGGTTCGCCGGAAAAAGAGAAGGAAGGAAGGAAGGAATGAAAGGAAGGAACATACCTCGAGCTCCGGGGAAGCACGGCAGCCGTCGCCTCTGCTGCTGCTGCAATCCGCCATCTCAAGCTCTTCTCCTTCCTGCGCCACCGATACAAGAACACCCACGATCAGCTTCCAATCGGGAAACAGAGGTGCTTTCCTGAAACTCCTCCGGTTTCAAAGAAGAAACGGCAGAACGCAGAAACAAAGAGTACCCAAGACAAGATTCTCAAACACACAGAGTACCCAGAACAAGATTCCAGAGAGAGAGAGAAGAAGGGGCACAGGTCTCCAGAAGAACAGAGGAAGAGGAGGAGGGAGATGGTGACCGGGAAAGGGTCGTGAGGTTGAGCGAGAAGCTGAGACCATAATATATATATATGCAATAAATTTGGGACTTTTATTTCGTCGTTTAATACCACGTATGCCTAAAAAGAATAGCAAGCTCTTAACTCTTTTATATCTCAGCAATTTTGGTTTTTACTTATTCGATTGCAGTTTCTATAGTTGAACCACTTTCTTTATAGAGGACAAAAAGGCGTCAAATAATATGAAACCGCGAAATTTTGTGGTTCGTGTCATGTTCGTCGACGGAAGAAAAAGAGAGAGAGAGAGGCAATTAAAAGTTCGTCGAAGGGAAATTGGCTTTTGCTTTGCGTGTGGCAATCCATATATTGTCAGGAGAATTTGGAAATTTAAATCTGAGTTAGATGTCAAATGACCATCTTCGCGTTTGCTTGCTGATCTCGTGATATATGTATATCTCCCTTTTATCTCCGTCCCGTCGGCCCCGCTCGTTCTCCCGTCCGTCTCGCATAGGGTATATCCTTAATTTAGTAGTTGACCGATGAGAATCGAGAGCAATAAATTGCATTGATTCGACGAAATAACCTGAATTTGAAAACAAAATCTAACTAATCTTTTTGACCCCTAAAGATTAATGATAGTTGGGGTTAGGTGAGGGATACATCGCATCTCAAATGTGCACACACACTGTGTGCATGCGAGACGTTCGAAAAATTAAATAAAATGTTATTTCGAAACTCTTTAACAGCCGCAATTTCAAATATATATATAGTGCTATGTTCACTAGAAGTCCTAAAACTTGTCACAAAAGTGCAATTGAGTCCTAAAACTTGCAAAAAGTGCAATCAAGTTTTAAAACTTGTCAACTTTGTTCAAATGAGTCCTAAAATTAATACCGTCAAATTTACTAACGGAAAATGCTGACGTGGCGTTAACGTGGCTTATTTTAATATTTTCTCTCTCCTACGTGGCTAAAACGACGTCGTTTATTTTTTTAAAATTTGCTTATCTTTATATTTAATTTAAATAAAATTAGTATTAACATTCAAATTTGGACCAAAATGACGTCGTTTTAGCCACGTAGGATAGAGAAAATATTTAAAATAAGCCATGTCAGCATTTTTCATTAGTCAAATTGGACAATGTTAACTTAAGAACTCGATTGAATCAATTTGACAAGTTTTAAGACTTGATTTCACTTTTTGCAAATTTTAGGACTCAATTGTACTTTCGTGATAAGTTTTAAATAGGAGTTGAATATCAACAAATTTTTTTTTTCGAAAAACCGTAGCAAAAGTTGCATTTTGTGATTATAGGCTATGATGCCATCATTGCCGCAATGGCTGCTGGTCCATGGCAATGGGTGGCTATAAGTCATATCACACCCGTTTTTCGCAACTAAATTGCGATTTCGATTGATGTGGCGTCTCCTTCTTTTTCAACATCGATGCAAAAATCGAATATAAAACGCCATTTTTTCTCTCACTAATTTGTGGATAGCTTCCACTCACATGTAGAGCGCCTTCCATGGAAAACAAAATTGTCAATTTGAGAACATCACTAGAATGAAAAATATTTCCCACTTTTTCGGGCCGAAAAAGCATCTTTTTCTTGTTCGGAAAACGGGCTATTTTCTACTAGAAAGACTTTAATCTGTCATGGGTATTAATTGAAAACTTGAAATTGGCAATAAGTCATGGAAATCAAGACTTGTAAATTCATAAAATCGGTTTCGTAAACCTAGAGTTCTTGATTCTTTGGTCAATTGTGACCGGTAAGCAAGCACCTAGAAATCAAAACCCTTTTCTTTTCTTTTTTTTTTGGGTCAATTTTTTGGAGAGTGGGCATGATGGCTTGCGGGTCAGATTTTTACTCAATGTTTTAGTCAGGTCAACCAAATTCAGTGACCTCAAAATTAGGCCACCAGATTTTGACATGGTCAACGAGTCATTAGACCGAGTAAAAATCAATCAATTTCTGCGTTCTAACGTAGTACTTATCGTATCGGTCTTGTTTAGGTACATTTGCACCGGACATAATGAACCAATTTTGCATCGATTTGGACAAGAACTAGTTCAAACTCCAAGCCTATTCCACCGCCTTTGATTGTGACCAATTACTTACATTTTCCCCAATCAAATTGCTCTTTTGCGCAGCTTGAATGGGTCTGGACTCGATACGTATGCTTATTTCACAATAATGTTTTCTTTGTTTCTAAAAATTAGAAAAAAACAAGGCAACAAATGCGATTATTCCTTTCAATTACACCTACCTATACCTTTGCCCCTTCAGACTTGGTTGTGTTCTTATTTCACTCCAAATTTGCTTGGAGGGTCATGGAATGTTCGAGATCGCCGATGCGAAGCTTGTGCTCGCCGATCGGGATCCTTCGGATCCCGAACTCGTCGACCACGCTCAAGTGCTCGCACACGCGGATGTCGAACCTGACCCGCCGCTGTGACCCGGCCGGCACGTGGACCTTCTCAAATCCGATCAGCTGCTTGGCCGGAGACCATTTCCCCTCCGGTGGCTCCGAGAACACGAGGAGGGTGTGCATCCCGTCCATCGAGCCGGTGTTCTTCACGTCAACATGGATCTCCAGTGAGGCCGCGTCGCAATTCACGTGCGCGGCTTTGATCCCGGTGCTTAGCGAGGAGGAGTTTCGGGCGACGGTGACGGCGCCGAGGCTCGCCAGCGGCATCGAGACCTGGGTTGGTGCCTCGACTAGCGAGTGCCTGTAAGTGGTGTAGGACATGCCGTACCCGAAGGGATACACGACCGGGCCTTTGTAGAAGCGGTAGGTCCGTCCGGGATAGCCACTCGCCAGGTTCGCCCTCATGTTCATGTTTGTCATAGGAATCTTGGCAACATATTCCTGTGGGTACCAAGTCATAGGAAGCCTTCCTCCTAGAAAAGGGAAACAAGACATATTTTAGAGTCTTCTCGTGAACTGGAATTGAATCTGTCCACCGGCCAAAGTAGCCATAAGATTCACTTAGGATTGCGAAAAGCATGAGACTTGTTCTCCAATGTTGATTTTCAACGCAAGTACAGCGCATGAGGAATTGAAATTTGAAAAGAGTACCTGGGTTAACTGTTCCGAACAGGACATCAGCTATGGCTTGCCCACCGGCTTGACCCGGATACCCGGCCCACAATATGGCGGCGATCCGCGGATCGTTCTTCGCGAAGGACACGTCGATAGGCCCGCCGCTCATCAGGACCAAAATGGTTGGGCCCCTGGAGGCCATGGCCACCCTTGACACGAGCTCCTGCTGGTGTCCTGGCAAGAGCAATCCGGCTCTGTCTCTGAACTCTGCTTCAATGGACTGGTCTAGCCCCATGACTAGGACGGTGGCGTCGGCTTGCCGAGCCGCGGTCTCGGCCGCCCCAAAAAGCTGGTTCGAGTTGCACGCGACGCCAGCGCATCCTTGTTGGTGGACCGTCCTGGTGTACCTCCCTATTCCTTGCAAGGGAGTGGTGTAGCCGCATGCAACGCCTGCATCAAATTTAAATGGCAAAAGCTAGGTGCTTAATAAGCGCAAAAGCACTAAACAAACATGATGTATGATCAAATTACGCATACCTGCGTAATTCCCAATCATCGTCACAGTAACATCCGAATTCGGTCCGATGACCGCGACGGTGCGGTGACGCCTAGTAGAGAGCGGCAAAGCCTGCCCCTGGTTCTTGAGCAGCACGACGCCCTGGCGCGCGGCCTCGAGGGCTAGCTGCTGGTGGGCCGGAGTGCACACATCCCGCGGCCCGAGGTTCCCGTACGGCTGCGCCGACGGCTCGCCGTCGAACATGCCCAGCCTCATCTGCACCGTGACCGTGTTCGCCAGGGCCAGGTCCACGTCGGCCTCCGCGAGCTTCCCTCCCCTTATGGCCTCCTCCGTGTGGACCGCCAAGAAGGGCCCGCAGTCCAAGTCCAAGCCTGCGCGCAACATTTTCGCCCCCGGAAAGGCCGCATTGTCTTTAGATGAACTTGATTCGATCCTAGTAGCAAACAATTCGGACAGCCGGAAACCTATTGACGTTAGAACATGAACCTGCTTTGATGGTGTCGGCAGCCGCGTCTTCCGGCGTGGCGGTGTAGTGTTGACTTTCGTACAGCACCCCGACCGAGTCGCAGTCCGAGACGATGTACCTGATCAGAACCCAACCGAAATCACAAAAGCGTTAATGAACTGTAAATCGGAGCCGTCCGTTCGGATGACTCTGGAAAGCTCGGCGGTTTCTTTTATACGAATCCGACGGCCGGTGCTCACCCGTTGAGACGCCACTGACCGCGGATGGTGTTCTTGAGGAGGTTCGGGTCAGCGCACGTGGGGACGCCGTTGACTTGGTTGTACGAGCACATCACGCTCGCCACCTTCCCGTCCACCACACAGGCCTTGAACGGCACGTCGTACGTGTCCTCCAAATCTTGCTTGCTCACCTATAATTAAAAAAAAAGAAATTACAAAATTTTTCATAATTTTCACTTTCCCATCTAATATTAACATAATCACAAACACTTTGACGAGCACAATTTACTAATGAGTAGTTTTTTTTTTTTTTTTTATACGGTCGAAAAAACACCGGAATCTCTTAGCGCGACATTTTTGTAAATTTTTTCAAACAGATGGAGAAATTTTCTCTATGTGCATTAGTGATTCGGTTGAAACACTATTATGTTCTTTCGTGGGTATCGGAATTTGTAATGTGTACATATTTTCTATGATTAGAGCGAGTGTGACCCGAATTGAACAAGGCAAAATAGAAAAGGGGCGAGATACATTACATGGGAATGAAATTACTACCACCCCAAGAATCATTTTCGCATTGCTATCCTAGGTTTAGCTAAAGACAAAGAGAACCCAATCGAAAATTGCCAACGTGGAAACGAACATAGGCCAAATTCCAGGCTCTCCCATCAGGCCTATCAAATCCCTAAGAAGCATCCTAGTCATCCTAGCCAATCGAAAATTACCTTGAAGAAAAAACACCTTCTTCGAGGGCTGATGACCGATTGAGAATCTGTTGCTAATTAAAGGATAATGAGACCCGCCAAATCAATTATGATTATTAGCATCCCATTTGCTTAATCTTTTGTAGACAGATCTAATTAAAATGGATGCTAAACATCAGTTCTTGATTATTCTTCTCATCATTTGATTCTTCAAACAACTCTTCTTTTTTATCCTTTTTCGACTTACCCGGGCATTGAAATGGTATCGATCCACGCCGTTCCAGTTGTCGAGATCGTAGGCGGTGTAATGCTTGCAGCACGCCGCGACCTTCAACCTGTTGCCGACGTTGCCTTGAAGCCCCCGGACGTAGCTCGCCGCGTACTTCCCAGCCATCACGGGATCCTCGCCCGGCGTCTCCTGGCCCCGCCCCCACCTAGGGTCTCGGAACACGTTCACGTTCGGGCTCCAATACGTCAGCCCCGCTGTCCCTCCATTGTACATGGCCCTCGCCTCATCCGACACCACCTACGTTCACGAATCACAGGAGCATTTCAATATTTGCTATCGTGATCGATGGTTGTGATTGTTCCGGTGCGTTAACATTTGATATTCAAATGCGTTGCTGATCACGCAAGTTGAATCTTTGATGAATTACAAGTGCAAGGGAACGCAACAGTCGAAAGGCCTAGCTTCATCTTATGTCTTTTCGCCAATTGCTTTAATCCTAAGTGTGAAAGCCAAGTTAGTTAAGCAAACTCTCACTTAAGTTCCTAGTAGCTTTGAAGAAAGACCTTGTCCTTTAGCAATGATTTGATGAAAAAGGTAGAATGGCCCCGACTCAAGACTCTCGTCTCACTCAGCTACAAATAAGTCAATAACCCCTTTCATTCAAAAAGTGACTTGTGATCTTATAATCACCTGATCACAACAAAAGCATAATCGATTATGAGGTCGCAAACGCATCGAATCTCCAATACACGACCTCACTATGATCGGACAATGATCCGAAGGCAAAAGGCAAAACTAGGGTTTTCGCCATAAGATTTTATTCTCCTCCCTAAAGATATCGGGTGAAGGACTTAAAATCTTCTGGGTTTCAGCTCTGCTAGTACTGCTGTCATCTTCCTCAACTTGGGTGACGAAATTAAAAATCCACACTGCCTACGCAACTTGCTTGCTACGGGACAAAGTTTTATACAACTTTTTCTGCCCAGAATCCAAGTTCGTGTCAGCGATGGTCCCTCTCAACAGTTCTTTAATACATATAGGTTCGAAATTAAAATGTAAAAATAAGAAATAAAAGCATGTGACTAGCACTGCCAATGCCATATATTTTCCTTTCCTTAGCGTGAACTTGACATATTACTTTTTCCCTTAAAAAGAACTAGATTGGACGCATGCTTTCTGTCATTCACAAGGACACAACTGACCCTTGTTGGGAAGTATGATAGACTCTTTGGCTTGGCACATTTGACACATTTGACGCTGTTGAGACAAGGTTTTTCATACCCTTATGATGAGATTTTCGACTAAGAACTATGAGGTGGTCCCAAAGAATATTAAAGGGGGAGATTTACTTCAAAGAAAGGGACTTTTTGCCCACAATTCTATCTTCTAAAACTCATTAAAGGGAAGAAGATTCTCCTCTCCTAAACGAAAAGGGATGGCATGAGCTGCCATCACAAGACATTGCTTCTGGTGGCACGACACTTTCACGGGTCCAACAGGAGAAGAAATAATATAAAGCAGCTTTTTTCATGGAATCATTTGTATTTTGGATGTATGCATGCATGCATGTGCTGCAATTCGACACCATCGAACTTAATATTTATGATGCTAGAATTTATTATATCAAGCAGCTTAATTGTACATTTGTCACCAACCAAACCCTACCTATAGCACGGCCAAAAAATAAGAAAACCCTACTTCTTATGTTAACTTTGTATTCTATCACAAAATTCGTAAAGAGTGTCTACTTGGTAGGGAGAAGCTATCGGGCCTTTCTCTATGTCAAAGCTCTCTGCTCGGCGAGACATGAAAGGGTGAGAGTTGCGAAGAGCTGGTTGGTTTAGGAATATTAACATAGAAAACTTCGTGGGACATAAAAAAAAAACAGACTTTTCCTTATATTATTGAATAATGTAGATTGATGAATGCAGAGAAATAAGCAGCTCTTACCCGTCCGATCTCCTCCCAGAGCGTGGCGTTGAACGACGCGGCGGTTGTGATGACCTGGGGGAAGCTGGTGGCCCCGGGGAAGGCGCCGCCGAACTTGGTCCCAGGCCCGACGTTGGAGACCCCGTGGAGCGCCTCGGACCACCACTCGTACCCCTGGATGCCCAGCCTTGGCACGGCGGCCGCATTGTTGACGAGCAGCCGGATCTTCTCCTGCAGCGTCAGCCGCCCGAGGAGATCCCGCACCCGCACATGGATCGGCAGGCCTGCCCTGCAGAACCTCAGGCCACGGGTCAGCCCGTTCCGCGGGTCGCATGCAAACGGGGCGCGAGCCCACGAAGTGGGAGCGAAGAGGAGGAGGAGGAGGAGAAGCGAGAGCGTGGTTTTCACAGCGGCGGCGGCGGCATGTGAGAGTGAGAGCTTGGTGGTGGTGGTGAGCTTATTTTGGACCATTCTTTTCGGCGAAAAGAGCGGTAATGGTGTTAAGAAAAAAACTGTCTCTCGTGGTATTATTACGGGATTATTGTCGAGTATTTATAGGGAGGAAAGGTTGCGTTCACAGGTTGGCGACGACGATGGCGAATGAAACAGGTCTGATGATTGGGTTTCCACGTCGACCGGTGATGGAAGAAGCTGTTCGAGAGAGAGACAGAGACAGAAAGAGTGTGTATATAGCTAGCTAGAAAGATAAAAAGAAAGATTGTGTGCACTCACTTACTTATCCAAAGTATAGATATAGAACAAGATAAAGAGTGTGTGCGTGAGTGTTTTGAGAGAATATTGGTAGATATATTACTATATATTTAGTGATATTATTTGATGTTTCGTTATTTCCCGAATAGGTAGTGTTCTTGTTAGATTGGGATAGCTAATTATCTCGTCAAGTTTAGATTCCTCAATTCTCGTATGCATCGATTGAGTATATATGATCTATTTTTTCGTCGAAGTATATATACCCTTTTGATTGTAATACATCATCGCATCGAGCAATATGTAATATGTACTTTGATTACCCACAAGGTAGATGGGAAAGATTGGATTATGAAAGCTCGTTTTAAGCAAGTATATCAGCTCGGTCTCATCAAATATTTTTGCTGGGCACGAAATTAGACAGATGACTCGGAAAAATTACTTTTGACAAATTTAAATGAGACACGAAATTAGAATCCAATATTTAAAAAATCTCGTATTTCAATGATGGGATTCCACGCTTTGATAAATCAACGAATTGAAATAATAGTTCCGACACGATACAGTGCTTGCGTCACTGGTGAGTGGGTGTGTATATAGAAAGAGCCCGAAATGAATAATGTCAATTATTGGCTATAACCTATGGAAAATAAAATTGGAAATAATTTATTTTATTTATATATTTATTTTTAAATAAGAGAATGTTGGCAAAAAATAAAAATAAAAAAGCGTGGTCACGGAGTCGAACTTTTTCCCTGACACGTGCTATTGGGGGGGAGATAGAGAGCCGACCGTCACATTAGCCGCACCATCCCACGTTGTTTTTTTATTTTTATTTTTATTTTCGGCTTCCCTTTTCTCTAAATTAAAATGGGAAAATATATTTATTTAGTCTATCTCATACTCTTTCTTTTTCTATTAACATTGTGAATTAATCGATCGAGTCTTGAATTTGCAAAAATCGTGTTCTCTAATCATATTTCGCAAATCATACGAGCTCTTGAGATCGATCTCGAAAAATGGCAAAAAAAAAACCGAAGTAAAATACCGATTTTCCGTACAATTATGTAGCATAATTTCTGTGCTTTGGATCGATGTAGCATGCATTATTAGTTGGTTGACTCAATCATGCAAAAAAACTAGTGAGCCCCAGCGTGCTTAGCCTTTCCTTTCTTTCCCTAACCGTACTTCAAAAGCTAGCCTCTTTGCCTCACCATTTGTTGATATAGCCATACTCCAAACTCCTATAGTTACGTAGCGATACGAATAAGCGCGTTTTCTGGCGGGGTAGCCTTCTCCTATCAAGTACAAGTTGCAATGTAATCGATGTTTATGTATATTACAAACTACAAATACGGCACACCGACGCGAATTTCCTGGCCACCGGTGAGGGGAAAAGGAGTGGCCGAGTTAGGGTTGGCGGGTTCGCGAAGTTGCTTTTGTTTTCGAGATCATTGGAGTGAGGAAACTCTTGTCAAGCTCGTGAAGGGGCAGCATGACTTACTGCACCCCCCGTGACCACAGGGTTGTTCTACCAAAGGATGAAACGTTTTGGTCATGTTTTTGTCTCTTTGACTGACTCGTTTGCCTTTTACCTCTTGTGAACTCTCTTGTGAACTCTCCTCTCGTAGATGCTTTGGCTTCCAAACAATAAAATTTAAAAATGAAAAATTTTGAAGATGCTCACGTACCCTTCAAGGGAAGTAATTTAATCATACTATTTTCTTTATAATTTATCAGTTCTGGTGACTATGGTGGCATCTGGCTGGGTAGGTTCCAATTTTTGCTATATTGATCATATGATTAGTAGATGGTTTAGATGGGTCAGTCGAAAGCTACATCTCGCGTTTTCTATGTTGGTACACCGTACACACAATAGAAGCAAGGAGAAGATTCTCGTCTAACCTATTGCTAATAGCTAGATTTGATTAATTAATGAATTTGAACACCAACTAACGCTTGAGCCACGACAGAAATCCTTGCTGGATGCTGTGAATGAGAAAGTTTGCGTCCCATGTGATTCTTCTTTTGGTTTTTGTTCATTTTTTGATTAACTTTTATGCGGCAATCAACTTCGTTCTTTTAGAATTTTCCCTTAGATGGCTGTGCAATGGAGGAAAATCTTCTCCTTTGAGGATGGTCAGAAATGGAAAGTGTTCCAATAGGACATGGAAATCGATAGCTTCGCAATCGGTGAACAATTCTTGTTTTCGCATATGTTTCATTTTGCAAAGAGCAAACGACTCCACTAAATATATTATGGCTCTATTTGTCTTAGGTTTCGACTATTGTTTACGGAAGCGCATAGAGTTCGCGCAATTTATAAGGTCTTCATCAATTTATCTAGCCTTCATGTGATGGGTATGCGTGACTACTTTGTGCATAATTTATTTGATAATCACTATACTCTAAGATATTTTTTATAAATTTTCTTTATCACACCCTTCTCAATTCAAAGATTCTAACAGTCTCTTTATCTCGTCCTAGCCCTAAAATTCTGCGTTCGGTGCCTCTATTGCTTGAAGAGCATTAAAAGTCGACTCTGCATCTATTCTCTCGTGATTTCTACGTGTCATCTTTGCATCTATTCATCCAAGTACTTGTGTACGTAGGAGTAACATAAGAGAACTGCCTATCTGTAGTCAAATAACAAATGAAGTCTCATGCTTGTAGTGACTCTTGCTGTTGCCCTAGAATCCTCAAGAGCGATTTGAATACAAAGAGATGAGATGGTTATTGAGCTTAAATGATGGGTCTCTGTTGAACTCCATCAGAAATCTTCGTCACTGAACCCCTCCCTTCTGTCGTCGACCTCAGTTATTCAGTTATTGTGGTTGGTGTCTGGGCCTGCAGCAGTGTCCATGCTCGATTTCAGCTTTTCTGTTGGCTTCTTTACAACCTTGTATAACATTTGTCATATGAAACAATAAACTACAACCAAGCAAACCAGAGCAAGTTCTGTTAAAAAGCTTTACATGCCAATTTGTGTTCTGTCATATCCCCAAACGCCTGCTGCAATTCCTACTCCAACGAAGAATTCAAGAAACCGATCGGATTCAGCTTTGGGTTGTGAAACTTCGATTCATTTTCATTCATTTGAGTATCTCTAGCGTTTGCAACTGTACAGTCAAAAGTTTAAATTTCTAAATTGAAAAAATATATATAATATTCAATCATTTTGATGAGAAATTAACAATCTAACCAATCGAAACTCACATTTAATCTTATACATAACTAGATACTGGATCGGATATATACCTTATACTTCGTAATTATCTTTTATATGCCACACCAACTATATGATGGAAATGAGCGACCAACAATACCAACTCGTGTCTCCTTTATTATACGAGATTTAGCCAAAAAAAATAATGATAAAAAAGAATAGTTAAATAATAGAAAAGTCTCGTATCTAAGTATTAGAAAGGAGTTCCATCATCAGGTCAAGATTTTTTCTCCAGATCTCTATCGGCCACCACCTCAATCCTCACTCAGCAGACACCAATGGCAAGCCTTGATGACCAGTAAGCTATGTATGACTCATTTCCTATGATTTACTTCATACATTTTGATAAAGATTGGGTTAGTGCTTGCGTGTGGCTCTTGCAAACTAAAAACTCTCTTAAGCTCTGCTTCCTAGTGGCTAGTCTCATACAATTACGTGGAAAAATCCATGCATGATTGGAGACCTGAAGGCGACAGGGTTCATGACCATATAAATGTCTATTGGCTAATATGTGGCCCCAAGTGGGTCAATGAAATCGGCTCCAATATCAACTGATATCTGATCAACTATTAGGACCCATCTATCCAGATCATTTTGGGATTGTGCCAGCCCATTTTTGGATGAGAATGACAACGATATAGCTCTGTTGAGTGAACACGCATCGTGTTTTTCAAAGGGTAACTAGTTCTAAGAGCAAACACTACCTACGTTTTTTTCCGAAATCGTTATACATATCGTCGCCCCAAATTATGCGTGAAGAGAACTACAACACGGTTGTGCACGACACAGAAATTCAAGAAGTGCGTGTGGTGGTTCATGCATGGATGGGACCAACACATTGATTGGGATGTGATAGATAAAAGGGAGCAGTGCATATGCATTTCAAAAAAATCCAACAGAGGAATGGGAGGCGTATGTGGTTGGATATAACATTCTTATCCAGGGGAATATCACAAGGAAGATCAGATAGGCCTGCCATGCATGCAATGGAACCACTTTTGTGGGGTTTTTTCGGTAGCCTCCTTGCCCTTATCCTCCAATTAGCATCCTCCTATTGCTTTGATTTCCTTCTAATTTGGAAACTTTATCCATCTCTAATTGCACGAACACTGCTTGTGATGTTCACAGCATGATGGACAGTTCCATAGCATCTTGGATAAGAATATATGATGAGACGGATATTAGCGTCGGGGTCCTTCATAAGATAATATCGATTAGGTGGAGAGATGGATCAAGATTCATCCCCTCCATGAAATGATGATGTAAGAGCGTTTTCTGTTCTACGTTCGGCGCGGTGGCAATTTGTTTACACCAAAAAGTGACAAAAAATCATGGAAATAGGCATCGGGAGCTTTGGCGTCAGTAACTACCGATAGTTCGCAACTTACCGATAGTGGGTGAGCAGAGGATTGGCATCAGCAACTTACCGATAGTTAGGTGTCAATAACAAAACTGTTTATGGATAAGAGTGGTTATTTGAACGTGGAGAATGCCTAGAAAATAGGAAGATAATAACCACCGTTAGGAAGTTACTTTTTATTTAAAATTTAAAAAGTTGTAAACGCTTGTACGAGATTATAAATATCTCAAGTTTGTATTTTGAAAATCGCCCCCTGAAATCAACAACAGAACTCACTTTCTTTATCAGTTTATCTTTCTTTTATCTTTACATTTCCTGCACTCGTACATTTACATTTGGCCAAGGCCATTATTTTCCTGCAATTTACAAGCTTTAATTCTTTAGGAGTAGTTCTAATGCTCAGATTCACGTCGCCGAGTCGTCCTTCGATATGAATCTTCATCCTTGGTGCTTCGTCGTCGAGTCAAATCCCGGCGTAGTACCGCCGCTCTTTCAAGTTTCGTCCTCGAGTCAAATTCCGTCGAAGTTTGTTTCGATAGTACTTCCTAAACTTTTCCGTCGAGTCAAACTCCGGTTTGGTTTAGATTTGTACAATTCCACGTTGATTTTTATGATCGCTTGGATATTTCCTGTCAAATCACCACAGAACCCGTCCTTCAATTAAAAGCCAAAGATCCATTTTCGGTGTTTGTTTCCTTACGGATTAAATTACGGAGAAACACAATTATAGCATGAGTGCTTGAAAAGTGCAATCAAGCAAGAATTTTTCAACTGCGAGAGGGGTCCTATATGCAGAAAAGAGTGGAGACTAGCTACCTAAAATTTTTTTTCTTGATTTTGCAAAAATTCTCCCTTCATCTTGGTTGAGCAGGAGGGATGATAGGGCTTGTTTTTGCAAGGAATAATGCACTCGCTATCTCCCGAACTACCTCTTAAATGCAAAGCATCAGTGCATATCACTCTCCCTTAACTGCAAGGCACCACTTGCTTTTTCCATCTTACATAAGTAGAGGCTTCCTTTTAATTTAAATTTATATGTATATAAAGCTCACGTGACATATGTGACCATCTCATATGTGAGATTTACCTATTTGCTTTCGATGGTCATTTTAGGCTAAAATTACCCGACAAATCCTAAACTTATTGTACATATATCAATTTAATCTTAAACTTTTCAATTTTGGTAATTTAGTTTCAAATATTTGTGCAAAATTCAAATGTAGTCTGTCCAGTCAATTTATCAAGAAAGAAGAGGCCCCGAAGAAAAAGAAAGGTAGGATGATGGGGAGAAGCAGGATTAGTCCACGAGGATTCGGCCAAAAGATTTATGAGGATGACTATGATTGATGATTTGATTAGGAGGATGTTGAGATTCACCTCGCGAAGTAAAGACGGTGGGGCCGGCAAGGAACCACGACCTCTTGGACTCCTTGAAGAACTCTCGGAGGAAGACGCTGGCCCCCCCCATCCGGGTGATGTCGTCGGGGTGCGGTGTGAAGGTAAATGCGTGGTTGGCGGTGGTCAAGAGCGGTAGGTTTCTTCTTGCTTGTCTTTTACTATCCTATATCCATGTTTGGACATATACCAAACACCTTACGAGACATTACAAATCTCATCATTATTTTATCCGAACTATATCCTATCTAAATAAAAAATCTGAACGGCCAAACTCAGCCTAAATTTAGCAAATCTCTAATGCTAGGAAATACCTAATTTGCATCTAACATTCTCAGCACCAAAAGTCATGATTAATTTCCAAGTTGATGAAGAACAGAGTCTTAAATCTAAGTTACAGGACATGATAGTTCTTATCAATTAAAAATAAGGGAAAAAACCACCAAAAACTCCGAACTTTGTCATCCGTGACACATTTACCCCAAACTTTTTTTTGTGACACCAAAAACCCCAAACTATGCTATTTGTGACATATTTACCCCAATGTATTTAGTCCATGGGCATTTTCGTCTTTTTGCTTTTTCTTTTTTTTTTTCCTTTCCGACGAGGGCGGCCCTCGCCGGCGACGCCGGCGAGGGTCGCCCTCGCTGGGCGAGCGAGGGTGGCCCTCGCTCGACTCCGGCGAGGGTCGACCTCGCCGGAGTCGGGCGAGGCGGCCCTCGCTCCTGCGGCGTCGGGCGAGGGTCGCCCTCGCGGTCGAGCGAGGCGGCCCTCGCCCGGCTCGGGTGAGGTCGACCCTCGCCGGGCGTCGGGCGAGGGTCGCCCTCGCTGAGAGTCGGGCGAGGGTCGCCCTCGCCGGATCTCGCGAGGGCCGCCTTCGCCGGCGTCGGCGAGGGCCACCTCGCTTGCCTAGGCGAGGGCCGCCGACGCCGGCGAGGGTCGCCCTCGCCGGATCCGGCGAGGGCCGCCCTCGCTCAACGCCGGCGAGGGCCCCCTCGCCCGGATCCGGCGAGGGCGCCCTCGCCCGACTCAAGCGAGGTCGACCCTCGCCCGGCTCGAGCAAGGTCGACCCTCGCCCGACACCGGCAAGGGTCGACCTCGCTGAGTCGGGCGAGGGCCGCCCTCGCTCGCCCGGCGAGGCGACCCTCGCCGGACGCCGGCGAGGGCCGTCCTTGCTCGGCGCCGGCGAGGGCAGCCCTCGCCCAACGCCGGCGCGGGCCCCCCTCGCCAGAAAGGAAAAAAAAAGAGAAAAAAAAAAGAAAAAGACAAAAATGCCCATGGACTAAATACATTAGGGTAAATGTGTCACAAATAGGATAGTTTGGGGTTTTTTGTGTCACAGAAAAAAGTTCGGGGTAAATGTGTCACAGGTGGCAAAGTTTAGGGTTTTTGGTGGTTTTTTCCCTAAAAATAATGCTAAACTTTTCTAAATGTAAGGCTGCATTTTGAAGTTGATTGAACAAATTCCTGTATCTAAGTTATATCAGATGGCAATTCTTATACTCATATAATTCTAGAGTTAACCATCACAAGAAAATTAAATGAATGGTAATTTTTTTATATTTTATGAATAGCTGTTGAAGTAAAGACAATACTAAGTTATTAAGTAAGAATTCTTAAGCATTAATGAAGTTTATAATAAAATAAATCAATGCCCAGAAAGGTTATATTTCATGATGTACATATTTTTAAAATAATGGTCTCAAGATAATTGTTTACTTATGAATGTTGATATATATAAATTCACCGGCAATTTTGAAATTCTAGAAATTCTCGCGACATGGAATTTTTCCAAATTAGACAGAGTTCGATCATGAAACACCACGTCAAACACCGAAGAGGATATCCTACTAATGATATTTAGCAACTAAACCACAATTAGTGATAAGTCCGCTTCCCTTTAACAGCAAGCGTCACTGAAAATGCAATGATCAATCGGATTAGATATCATATTATCTTGGAAATTCACAACTTTGAATACACTTTCCGAATCGGTCGCCAAACTTGAGCACAATTACAAAAATCTCTCTGCATCATTTATTCTTTCCTTCCCCCACACTCTTGTTTAAATTTCCTATACATTTCTATACAATGACAAAACACATCGCTTGCCGGAGCTCAAGAAGACGAGGACGAGGACGAGGACGCCAGCGATGCCGACGACGGGTTGAAGGCGGCCTGCTCCCCGCAGCTGAGCACCTCGTGCGGCCCGGCCTCCTCGCGGCCGACGCCCATCAGGTCGAGGTAGTATTGGTAGTGGGAGATCATGTTGTTCATGTGCTCGTCGTCGCCCTTGCCGCAGACGTCCTCCCCGTAGAGGATGTTCATGGTGGCGCCGAACCCGGGGGCCCGCTTGGCCAGGGTGTCGTTCCGGGTGGGCTTCCAGTTGCCGACGAACACGTCGTGGGCCGAGGGCTGGTGCTTCTTGTCCGGCGTCATCCACCGCCAGATCGCCGCCTGGAAGGCCAGCGTGGCGTTGTTCTCGATGTACTCCGGGTGGCTCAGCAGGTCCACCTTCAGGGCCTTCCCCGTTTTTCCATAGTTGTAGTTCCTAACACATACGGCATAATCAGGCAAGAAGAGACTCAGCTCAACGCCAAATCAAATTTTCCAGGAACAATTACAGAAGTTAAAAGTGGAATTGAAGATCGACATGACATCTTAGCGATTGTCAATACACGTCAAATACAAATGCTCGTATGAAGGCAACTAATTATGTAAAATTGGTACTTTGATGACCAATATGATCTCTAGAAGTCAAATTATATGTAAAATCTTCTCAAAATATAGAGATTTCAAATTTAGATTAGTCTCATTTTTTATATTTCCTAAATAACCCTGGCTTTTTTCTCTCACACCCATTCAATGAAAACCATCCACTTTCTTTATCTCTTCTTGCTATTGGACTTTCCGAACTTTCTTATTCCTACCTATTTCATACATAATTACTCATTTTCTTTCAAAGCATAATTACCTAATTATGTGCACCCGCATAGCGCGTGCCTTAACCCTAGTATCACATCAACTAATGATCTAATCGATAGGATCTACACTATCACGTTAGTCCTATGGCGCTATCGGTTAACATTAGAAATCTCCAAAGATTCTAACAAATTTACAAGTTAATTAAGATTGGTATTATGTCTTAAAAATTTTGGGATCGTAAGATTAAATGATGTTAATCTAAAACGAGACTTTACCAACCGATTCAGCTCGCCCGTCGTTTAGCGGGCTTCATCTCTCCATTCAAGCCTGTCGTGAGCTAACAACCACTTGCGAAAAAAGGTGATAGGTCCAATTTCAGGCTTGAACTGCTAAACGATCGCCTCTATTTTCGACATCTTTCATCTCGAACTTAAGTATATTAAGAGGTGTACGATGAACCATGTGAATATGGCAATTACCAGTAAATGGGGATGGCGCCACGGCCGTAATATTCAACACCAGCAGTGCAAGGGTACGTGTACTTGTAGTAATCATCGCAGTAGGATTGGCTCGGGCTCATCTCCTTGTTGTAGCAAAGCCCCCATGCCAGTGGCCCTCCCGTCGCTACTCCATACCCACCTGAATTTCAAGGACGAAAATCAAGATCATAAGACGTTTTGCTTACAAGTAAAGTGATTGATGTATGAAGTTCGGAATCGGGTTTTGCTCACAAGATGTTTTGCTCCCGACGTGGCCGAGGAATGCGGAGACCTCCTTCATCCCCGTGAGCTTCCCGCCGGTGGTCCCGAACCCGTGGGGCTGGTACTCCGCGGCAGCCGTGATGAACGAGTGGTAATCCCAGAAGCCGGCCGCGTGGGCCACGGGTGAGTTCCTCTTGGAGAAGAGGTTCTCGAACTGGTACGCCTGGAAGTAGTCGGAGATGGTGCTGTTGCAGCAGTACGGCGACAGCCCCTTACACTCCCACCCCTTGCTGCACACCTTCTTCCCCTTCACCATCTTCACCACCGGCTTCACCGCCGCCGCGTCGTCGTCCCCGAACACGACGAGGGGCGACAGCAGCAGCAACGCCACGAGAAGCGACCACTTGATGCCCTCCATTTCTCTTGCGAAAGCTGACCAGAGGAATGCGAATGTGAATGAGATGAAGAGATGTTTGGTGGGTCTGGCTTTATAGAAGGAAGTGAGTATGAATTGTGGGGAGAGAGCGAAAGAGATGGAAAGTGAGGGTGTAGCTGAAGGGAGGAAGATGGTGGAGAGTCTCTTCATGGGGGCTTGAGTTGGTGCGAAGCAAATTGAATCGAGTAGGTCTTGGTTCTTTTTCGCAAATGCTTGGAGTGCAAGGTAAGTTAGCCATTGAAGGCAAAGCAGCCAAAGCAGAGCTGCTTTCAGCTTCAAGGTAGGATGCAGAAGAAAAGGAAAATAAATAATTACACAAATGGTCCGTAAACTTCGGTCCAATGTGAAATTTTGACCCTAAACTTTGGTCCGGATGTGCAATATAGTCCCTTAACTTTTAATTTATTCAATTTGGTCCTTAAAATTTAACTCGATATGCAACGTGATTTCCGAACTTTTAATTTTTTCAATGTGATCCCTAAAATTTTGGTACATATTCAATATGGTCCCTGAACTATATAAAATGTTCGATGTTATCTATCCATTAATTCAAGTTCAGGGACAACATTCAATATTTTCAAATAGTTTAGCGACTAGACATTACCAAAATTCTGACATTGCACATTGAATAAATAAAAAATTCATAAATTATATTGTATATTTGATTAAAGTTCGGGGATCATTTGTGTCATTTTCCCTAAGCATCAGGACCTGCAGATTCGTTTCTCATTTGGGCTTCGTTTCGGGTTGAGATTGACGTCGGGCCAGATAAGCCCAATATCGGCCTGGTTCTCGTACATGGACAGAGCAAATCTTACTTGGGCCGGGTCGTTGGAATGTGGTGGACTTTCCGGTTCTGATGATGATGTGACCTCAACCTCTGCATTCAATTTATATGGTCCCTCCTCTGCCTAGGAAAGGACGGGGGAACAGAGATAGGTAGGAGTGAGTCACGGTCTTAAACGTTGTGGGTATTATGTTATTTTGATCAAAAAGACATTTTCAATCAATCATGTTCCATGATCTCAACCCCCCTCGCCCTCTCTCTCTCTCGGCAACTTGCAACTTTAGCCGCGGCTTATGTAGGCGAATCCATGGAGGGTCATCGTCGACTCGGATTCTGGGGCTCGTGTGACCTTGAATCCAAAGTCGCGCGGATTCACAAGCTGAGATCTCGGTGGCAAGACGGAGTGGCCGCGACCCTCCCGCCTTCTATATAGCTTTTCAGGTGAACTTCAATTTGCGCTCGCTTGGGTTCCCATTGGCAGCCTTTTAGAGAGTGAGAAGGGGCAGGTTAGGGTTAGGGGCGTGGTAGAGACATTACGGGGAGAAAATGACAATCTCGTCAATGAAACTATGATTCAAAAACGACATCGAGATTAATCTTTTCGTTACGCGTCGACCTTTCGATAATGCCACGTCAGAAAGCTTGGACATAGGAAAAAAAACACGACTTGTCCCTCTAATTTGGAGGTAAATTCTTTTGGCGTGTACAATACTTTTGGGCCCAAATTCGTATGGGCCAATTTAGATTCTAATTCTAGGCAATCCAATGCGCTGAAACTTTACATGCCTACCGACATGTTGGCCGGCGACGGTGGTCGATCCCCACAAACTTTCCGACACGTTCTCGCATCAAATCCACTTGGCAGTCCCTTTCCATTCCAACACATCGCATCAAGCGAAAAGCCCCACTCCCACTTCTCCGTATGTCCATCTCTAGCGTGAGGACGCGAGTATCCTCGTACCGCGAACGGATTTACGTGTGAAAGCACGACCAATCGTGGCGTCATGGGGACGAGGGGGAGCTTTTCGTTGTAGGGGGTCCGGGAGATTTGCGGCCGGAAATTGTTCACGTGTGATCGGTACGAGCCTCGACGTGACGCGCGGTCGATGTCGTACCAACGGCGGTCAAGCAAAAGTCATGTGATTCATGAACCTAAAGGGGTTGGAAATCTGACCGACGCGTCACGAGGCCGAAAGCTTCCTAGGAAGCCGGAGAACGAGCCCCGGGGGGGCGTCTTATGAGTTGGAACATCAAGTCAACCTTCCCAGCAGTACGGCATATCGCAGCTTCGCAATTGACCGCACTACGCATAGTCCAGCTCTGCAATTCGGCCTTCAGAGATCCTCTAGGACGATAATCGTCGCATGCTTGAATTCCTGACACAAACACCCCGACTCCACTCTCGCGAACCAGTCGTATCATTCTTTCCGCATCTCTCGCACTTACCCCCGACGCGACACCACGAGAATCTTCGCTTTTACCACTATCACGAACCCGGTCGTATCAACTTTCCCGTCGATGGAAATTAAGGTTCTGTTAAAATCAAGATCAACGGCAATTACGGGTTTCTTTTTCGCTTGCTCTTAAGTTTCTGTGGGGGTATGTTTATAGTCAATGGAGAAGAATATGATATTGTTGCTTGGGCCATCCTTTCCACGAACCCAATGCTTTAATTATTGGGAGGGCAAAACCGGAATTAACGCGTCTGAACAGTCAGCTCTTATCAATTGCTACTTTATCAGTTCAAGCGCGCGTGTGAACTGGGAAAATTTTAAGCAAAATCGGATTCTGAATGACGAGATAGGTGCGCCCCCACGAAGATTTGGGGACGCTTAGAAATCCGGTTACATTGTAAAATGGGATAATGACACAAACAGTTCCTGAATTTTGACCCAACGTGCAATTTGATCCCTGAACTTTTAATTTGTTCAATGTAGTCCCTGAACTTTGGCCTGATGTTCAATTTGGTCCTTGGACTTTTAATCTGTTCAATGTGGTCCCTGAACTTTTAGCACATATTCAATTTAGTCCCTGAACTATATGAAAATGTTCAATATAGTCCTTGTACTTGAATTAATAGAAGGACTACATTGAACATTTTCAAATAGTTCAGGGACTAAATTGAACACATACTAAAAGTTCAGGGATCACATTGAACAAATTAAAAGTTCAAGAACCAAATTGAATATCAGACTAAAGTTCAGGGACTACATTGAATAAATTAAAAGTTCATGGACCAAATTGCACATTGGGTCAAAGTTCAGGGACTGTTTGTGTCATTTTCTCTTGTAAAATCTTAAAACTAGTAGGTTCTGCTGGGGAGGCCAACCGTGTAGTGAATTGGATCGCTAAAGCCCGACATCTTAAGACTTTGTATTCACAGTTCGTACGTATGATCCGAATCGTTATTTTCTTCTATATAAAGCTAAACATTTCAATCGAGTCAAATTTTTTTTGTTGGTCTGTAATGAAGTCAATTGAGTCATTGCATTTTTCAAAAACCGCAACTGTGCCCTCTCGATGAACGGTTCCTAAACTTACCTACACGTAGTTTCAAAATTGGTTACGCGGCGGTATCCTTAAATTGCACTCCTACCGTAACTTTTTTCGGTTCAGGACTCAACCGAACCGATTAAAAAAGGCGTGGACCCGGATTGCTCTTTGGGTAAAGGCTCGTGACTCTCGATCGTACCGATTAAAATGTTCCTCAGACCTCGATTGCATTCGCGATACGATTTCCCCGGACACCATCTGCCGGTAAAAACCACCATGGAATCTTGTGCCACATTAACAGGTACATTGATCCGTTGGGATGACACTGCATACTGTATACTGTATGGTACTACTCTCCTGTACATACTATAAAGGTGAAATTCCATCGGAAGCCATGATCGGAGATCTTCATGTTTTAGGCAAAGTCGTTTCCCCAGGCGATTCTTGTCCGCAACACTTGGCCTATAATTAAAAAAATAAAAACATCAACTTTAGGTCGAAGGATAATTCAGGCCGAAACTTTTTTTTGTCCCCTAAAAAGGCACTAATTGTAGGTCGAGTGACAATTCTGGCCCCAACTTTTTTTTGTTTCATAAAAAAATACCAACTTTCACTTAAATTCCAAATCTTGCCTCTGTTGACTTAGAACCATTGATTATCCAACTTGACAATTTCACCTTAGCAATAAATCCACGTGGTTTGTTGACTGGATTAAAAATACTATTCATTGTCTTATTCTCTAGCCGCAGCTTAAAAAATAACGGTGAAACTGTTCGTCTCCTTCACTTCACCAGCGAGTCGAAAATATCTCCAAATTGAATTTATCTTGCCAGACTTCGTCGTTTTGTCGTAATCTGAAGCTGTAGACCACCGTCCGTATGAAAGAGATTCGCCAAGCTCACCGCCATAACTTTTTTTCTTAAATAAGGGTGACTTCGGATAGAAAGTCAACGGGGGGCCAAGATTTGGGATCAGGATGAAAGTTTGTGATTTTTTGTAAGATAAAAAAAAGTGAGGGCCAGAATTGTCACTCAACCTAAAGTTGATACTTTTTATGAGACAAAAAAAAAATTCGAACCAGAATTGTTACTCGATCTAAAATTTGTTGCTTTTTTTTTTTTTTGAATTAACCCACACTTTACATGTTGCTCCGTTCCCCTCCCCCCCATGGGAAAGAGCATTCCTGGTTCGCTTCTTTAGAAATCGGCACGCCCCCGGGGGGGGGGGGGGGACCGATCGGGTGCTCCGCCGCCCACGCTTAGCTCGCGAGCGGTCAACGCAGGCGACCGCGGCGGCGAACGGGCGAGCGAGGGCCGTCGATTCGCGCTGGACGCACGATGGACGGTGGCGCACCGGATGACTCCCCCCCCCCCTTCCCTTCCCAATCTTGCACTGTTAAGGCGAACTGTTGGAGCTTATCGTTTTGCAGTTGAGACCATAAAGGGTAAGAAAGACAGGCAAACAAAGCCCCACGAACATCATTGTAGAACAGCGATTCAACAAACGAACGCGACGAGGTCAGTCTCTCTCTCTCTCTCTCTCTATCTCTCGGAGTGAGTTTCGCTCTTTCCATCGATTTTTCTTGGGGGGGGCCTAAGCGCCGATCAGCTGCTTCCGCGACGATGATCTTCATCGCGGCAGCGGCAGCGGCAGCTCCGATTCCCCTTTCCCTTTCCGCATTTGCGCCGAGGATCCCGCGCGAAATCGGGTGGTCGGTGATCCCCTTTTCTTGCTTTTTGCTTCGATTTTCCCGTTCCGGGTCCTGTTTTCTCGCTGCTGATGGAGTTTGGTTTTCGTTCAGGGATCGTTGCGGTCGAGGGCTTTGAGAAGTTTGTTTCTTTTAAGCGAAGTGGAGGGAGAGAGCGCGCTTTGAGTCGTCGATGGAGAACAGTGCGCAGGGGATGCTCGTGGGCCCTGAGATTCATGGGTTCCACACTTTGCATGGTAAGCGCGTCTGCTCGTTGTGCAAAGTCTTTTGTGTTTGTAGTTGCCAGCTTTTTGTTTGATTGCTTGTGTGTTTGGGTATGTAAGAGAGAACCAGAAGAGAGCTTTTTCAGCGATTTCTCTGGTTAAGCAAAAAATGAAGGGTTGATGTTAGGATTTGGTGTGCTTGTGTAAGATATCGGTGGAAATTTCGCCGGTGGAGAGCTTCTTTTAATTGGCGTCGCTGCTTTGTTTGACTGGCTTCTTTTTAGAGCTATGAAGTTTCGACTTGAGTGCGATGCCATATCGAATAAAGGATAAAGATTCCAAGAAGCTGTGATTCGATTATAAGAAGTGACAGTTTGCTTTAGAATGTGAAGTTAATGAGAGATGGTGTCAAGTTAACTGGATTTGTAAAGCCCTAGTCAGTGTGGTGAGATGCAGCAATTTCAGAATGCAACGTTCAAGAATAAGCAACTAACAGTGGTTGTGATGGTCAGTATCTGGGACTAATATTGCAAAGATTATAGACCTTAGGAGCATGAAAAGGCCATAGTGAATATATCCAATCGGTTCAAGTGTTTTACTCGTGTTGTTGGAATTTAGACTTGCATGATTGAGCTCTTGTAATCCCATCTGCAGTGTTCTCATTGTCACAAGGCTGAGTGCTGCTTAAATGATCATTCCTGAGAGATGGTGTGAATTACCTCGAAATTTCCTACTGTTTGGCATGCCTATTTTCCTAAGATTTTTCTACATGGGCAGATTTGGAAGTTGACAACATCTGGGAGGAAGCCAGGACAAGATGGCTTCGGCCGAATGAAATCCACGCTATGCTTTGTAATCACAAGTACTTCAGCATAAATGTCAAGCCAGTAAACCTGCCCATGAGTAATCAACCTGTCTTATTTCTTTAGTAGTATTAAATTGAGTTTCCTGTTGACTGTGGGCTACTTTTCTTTTTTTTTTCCGAACATCGCAATGTACACTATCTTTGCTTATATATAAGATCACCTCGCACACCCCCCGTACGGATCTTCTTCAATTTATAAACTGCCAATTCCATGATCTGGTGTGAGTTAGCTCTTATAACCCTTCAGAAGTTTTTTCCAGATGCGTGTGCATTTCTTGTAAGTCCCGCAAAATGTTGAAACACATGACTGGGAAATAGTGTCCTAGTTATAGACAGATGATGCGACTCAGGTTCTTTCAAGTTATACTTTCGGTTATGCAGGTGTAACCAACACCAAGGGTCAACTTCCCTTGCTATATGTATTCTCCCTACATAGCATTATATTTACCCAAAGAAAGAAGAATTCCAAGCAAGATGGAGAAGTATATATTGTCTTTGGCTTCATTGGAATTTGCAGTTTCACCAGTTTCTCATAGATCATGTTCTCCTTGTTATGTAACAGGTGGAACCATTATATTATTTGACCGTAAAATGCTTAGGAACTTCAGGAAAGATGGTCACAACTGGAAGAAGAAAAAAGATGGGAAGACTGTTAAAGAGGCTCATGAACATCTAAAGGTATGTCTTCTTTTTTATTTTTCTCAAGTATAGGCAACTTCATTGCAAGTGCTGCTCTCTTGAGTCCGTAGATGTTAAATTTATGTTGGACTTGGCTGTTATGAAAATAAGGCTTTGAATACTATCTGAGGGGAGCCAAACAAACATATTCGGAAAGCCTTAGATGATTTGAAAATAGATAGATGAAGCAGATCTAAGGACATGAAAATGATTTTCTTGAAGACACTGTTGTTTTTTATTGTGGTTAACTTATCCCTTATTACACTGCTTTTACATTTCATTTCCAGGTTGGTAATGAAGAAAGGATCCATGTGTATTATGCACACGGTGAAGATAATCCGACGTTCGTTCGTAGGTGTTACTGGCTGCTTGATAAGTATGTATTTTCCTGGTATTTTTAGATCAACAATCTACATGCTCTACTCCTATATCTGTTTGTAAAATATAGTAGGATGATTTGCTCTCTCTTTTATAAATTGAAATGATATACACCTAATCGGGTATGAACTAACCATTGGTGTTTTGCCTTTTCTTTTCAGGACGTTAGAACATATAGTCCTTGTTCATTATCGCGAGACACAAGAGGTTGGTTTTTCATATCTCATTAGTGATATTGGCTCTGTTGAATGTTCTTCTTAGTCATCACTTAGTCAGGTATCTTCAACAATGCACTGTATTCTGTATCACGGTGAGCATAGAGAGATCTTGACTGCAGGACCCCTGCAGAAACTCCTTAGACATTAAGACTTTTTAACAAGGGCTCATATCTTGGGGTTTGGGTTGGTAAAATCATCCTCTGTAAAGTTTTTAATGAAAGGGATATGTGTTAGTGAGGCTTATCTTTTCTTGTAACTTGCAGCTTTACCTTCATTGTAGACTTGCTTATTTTGTGTTTCTCTTACTTCATATTCTAAAAGAACCTGTGTCGTGCTGCCAAGAGTGGAGATCAAGCTCTCACTCACATGATGGCTTCCCTATATGGATGAGTGTTATGAGTACAGGCAACATCAAAATTAACAGGGCAAGGGCATATGTAGAAACTGTGAGAAAACTGCGAGAAAACATTTTTACCGGAGTTCCATTTGGTTCCGTAGCTTTGGTCCCCCTTTCTCTTAATTGGAACTTAGATTTTCTATAGTCACGACCATGTGACTATAGCCATGGTTAGCAGAGATGTTACCTAAAGGAAAGGCAAATTGATAGTGTGTGAGCTATTTATTTGTCATCAAGCTTGCTCTTCTTATTGAAATTTTTCAAAGTCATCCCATTAGAAATGCTTATTCATTATCCCCCTGAAAGCAGCACTATGTTCTAATCTTGCATTGGTCTTTGTTGAATTGTTATCCAGTCACAGGGTTCTCCTGCAACACCTGTAAATTCACATTCTAGCTCAGTCTCTGATCCTTCTGATCCTTCTGCTCCTTGCGTTTTGTCTGAAGAACTTGATACTGGGGCTAATCAAGCTTATTACTCTGCAGAAAAAGAACATGCAGGTGACTACCCTCAAAGTTACTTAATTTGAAACATGTGGACTTTAAGCTGTGTCATCTGTCCCATTCTGTTTGACAGTGCAATAGAGAATTATAGAATGTCAAAGTGAAGGGACTACATATCCATTGAAGAAAGAGTAATCAGGATTTTTGGATTGTTCTTCCTTTGTACTCGATGAGTGGTCATAGTGGTTAATTACTTCGTGCCAGCAAAGAATATAGACTACTCTATCGCTCATGCTCCTATTTGTTGCTGCATATTCAACAGAGCCTGGCGATACTTTGACTGTCAGAAATCATGAAATGAGGATTCTCGAGATTAACACTCTTGAATGGGATGAGCTGGTGATAGATGATCCAAATAACTTAAGTGCATCTAAAGAAGGTAACTGACTGGACCTTTCTAATTAAATGTAGTGGCATAATGTTTTGCGGTTTGGAAATTACTGACAGTTCTGATTTCTGCTATAGTTCCAGGCAGAATTTCGTGCTTTGAACCACCAAATACGGCAGAGTCTGTTACTATCAATAATGTAAGCCTCCATAAGAGCTGCTTCTTGTTGGAATTGCCGTAACAGCATCAAGATTCTTTTTTTCTTAACGAATACATGCTAAGTATGTTTTTTTACTTTTTTTCAAATGGGTTAAAAAATGGAACACGCCAATTTGAGGCATGAATTCATTATAGTAGAAAAACTCTTGATTTCTTTATCTTGTTGAACAATAAGAGGGACTCCAAAAAATGATGTCATGATTTATTGATTCTGAAAAACTTTAGTTGCTTGTCTCGTTGTTTTTTTGTTAGCACCTCTACTTCTTTTGATGTCACCCCTTATTCACCTTTGCAGGGTGTCCTATCACCAGAAGTATGTCCTCCTGGTAAGCTAAACGGAGCAGTTTCTACTATGGGAATTCAGGCAAATTCAAATCCGTCAAGAAGTGATTATTTGCCAGTTAGCAGTCCAGGCTTCTTTGGAAATGACGGTTTGCAAAGTCAGGATAGTTTTGGAAGGTGGATGAACTACATCATGACTGGAACACCGGACTCAGCACATGATGCAGCACTTGAATCTTCAATTCCTTACTTTGGACTTTCATCTGTAGCAATGAATGATCTACCCTCCTCTCCTGAGATAATATTTAGCATCACTGATGTTGCACCTGCATGGGCCTTTTCAACTGAGAAAACAAAGGTTTTTTATTTTATTTCGCTGCGATATTTCATATTTTAACTCAGTTTATGCATAAAGTGCTGCTCTTCCTCTAAAACTGAATAAGTTAGTTTTTATATGTAGCAGACTCCCCTTAAGTGTGAAAGATGGAAGTATTAGGATGATTGATGCAGTCGTAATTCATCTCATGCAAATTAACTGCAACTGTTAGTGGTGGTTGTGTATTTATGAATATGCAATTATTCGTAATCCATCTCATTTAAAGTAACAAAGTTAGGAGCTAATGTAAATCATTACTTTTCTGCTTGACGGGTTTAATGGTCTTGTGAAGTAGACTTGAGCTTATATAGTTCGGGCCATGATTGCCAGTTGCCTTAATAGTGTCAAGGATCTGATTCACTTTGTCTCAGCAACGTCCTAAGACGGAAGACATGAGGCAAGGGCACCAACTAGTTTATGGGAATAGCGGATCGCTTTCATTTAAACAAATGAGCACATAGTAGAATTAAAAAACCTGGAAAACTGTGGTTTCTACATATTGCAAGAACGAGCGGCAGATCATTCAAGGAGGTAGTACTTGGTGAAAATTCTAGTAACTTGTGGAAAGTTCTGTTTCCTTGATTAAAGCAATATGCCTGATTCTCCACTCGCTTAAAGAGCATAGTAGAGTGTCCTACAAATATAGGACATCAGTTCTTCATTCATGCGATTTATTGAACTGGCTAAGAATATTGATTTTTTCCCCTTCTAACGTATAAGATATGGAATTTTTAGTTTCCTTTATTTTGCCACCTGTAATTTCCTTTTTATTTGTTAGAGATACCTAAAGGTAATTACTTATGTCACACAATTATTTGGCCATGTGGCCCACATGTTAGTGTTGCATCATACAATTGTTTGCATGAAATGCTCGATTGATTGTTTAAGCTCATGTGCTTGTCCTAACAGATACTAATTACTGGCTTCTTCCATGAGGGATATCTTCAACATTCCAAATCCAACATGTTTTGTATCTGTGGCGATCTCTGTGTTCCTGCCGAACTTGTTCAAGTTGGAGTTTACCGCTGTTTGGTATCACCACATACTCCTGGATTTGTGAATCTATATATGAGTTTTGATGGTCATAAACCTATCAGCCACGTAATCCACTTTGAGTATCGGACTCCTCCATTACGTGATCCCGTGCCTTCTAATGAAGACAAATCAGAGTGGGAGAGGCTCCAATTTCAAATGAGACTTGCTTTTCTACTGTTTTCTACTTCTAAATATCTTGATATTGCATCCTCTAAGGCCTCTCCAACTGTCCAAAAAGAAGCAAAGAAGTTTGTCCAGAAAACTTTGAACATCTCCAAAGACTGGGCTTATATATTAAGCTCAGTTGAAGATGATAAGATGTCAGTTCCGCAAGCTAAATCCAATTTGTTCGAACTTATGTTGAAGAACAGACTGAAGGATTGGATATTGGAAAGAGTAATTGCTGGTGGTAAACTGACTGAGTATGATATGCATGGTCAAGGTGTTATACATCTATGTGCAATTCTGGAATACACATGGGCTATTAATCTGTTTGCATTGTCGCCATTGTCATTGGACTTTCGGGACAAGTATGGTTGGACAGCTCTTCATTGGGCAGCACATAATGGGAGGTAAGTCATTGTGATTGAGTGTTATGGTATTATAGTTAGGACATTAGTCTGCCACGTCAACCATTTGTGGTTTTTCCTGCTTAATTATGATAAAAATGTACTAGGTTGTTTCTCTTAATTTTAATTGCTTTTATTAGGACATTTAGAGATCAGCAAGTATGTCTTGAATTCTCAATTAATTTAAGGCTCTTGATTGTGAGTTGGTCCAAGAACAATCTTTGTGAAGTTATATTATTTTGTCAAATCTTATTTCATCCTGCGAAGTTCCATGTAACAGTGAGAAAATGGTTGCAATGTTGTTGTCTGCTGGGGCAAAGCCGAATTTGGTCACCGACCCTACTTCAGAAAATCCTGCTGGATGGACTGCTGCTGATCTCGCAACAAAAAAGGGTTATGAAGGCTTAGCTGCTTATCTTGCAGAGAAAGCTCTTGTACAGCACTTTGAGGATATGAGCATAGCTGGAAATATCAGTGGTTCATTACATACTAGGACAAATGACACAGTTAACACTGAGAACCTCAGTGATGACGAATTGTATTTGAAGGACACTTTAGCAGCCTATCGAACAGCTGCAGATGCAGCTGCACGTATACAGAATGCATTCCGGGAGCATTCCTTGAAAGTAAGAACTCTAGAAGTCGAGTCTTTGAACCCCGAGGATGAAGCGCGCAATATTGTTGCAGCCATGAAGATACAGCATGCATTCCGCAAGTTTGAGTCTCGGAAGAAATTGGCCGCTGCTGCCCGAATTCAGTATAGGTTCCGCACATGGAAGATGCGTAAAGACTTTCTTAATATGCGTAGACAAGTTATCAAAATTCAGGTGAGCATTTCCCTTTTTACGGTCACTAATTCAGTGGTTAGTGATAAACCAGTCTAAACCATGTTGTCGATGTGCATCATACAGGCTGTTTTCCGAGGCTATCAAGTGCGGAGGCAGTATCGAAAAATTATCTGGTCAGTGGGAGTTCTCGAAAAGGCAATTTTACGCTGGCGGTTAAAGAGGAGAGGTTTCCGTGGGCTTCATGTTGAACCCGTACAAGAAAATGTAGACCAGAGACAAGAAAGTGATGCAGAGGAGGACTTCTTCCGAACAAGCCGAAGACAAGCTGAAGAGCGTCTCGAGCAATCAGTAGTAAAGGTCCAAGCCATGTTCCGCTCAAGGAAAGCACAAGAAGACTATCGCAGGATGAAGCTGGCGCACAGTGCAGCACAGGTAGGTTTTGTGATATTATCAATGTCTAAATCCATCTTCGTATAATTGACAACTGTGCTTTGTTTATGCAGCTAGAATTTCAAGAATTGTTCGATGATAATGTTTACATGGAGAGGTGAAGCGGGCTTCATGAGATCTCTTGTCTTTTAAGGACGGAACTGCTATCTGTAGCCCCAAGTTAGCACATAAAATGTTAAAAGGGTTAGTTTATCTTCTGTAGACTTCGCCTGTAAATGCTTAGCCGAACGTAGATATTACTTGCATTGATCCTTTCAAAATGTTTTAAAAATGGAAGGGCTCGTGGTTTTTGTGTTAATATCTGTCGAGAAGTGTGGATACTCTTTGGATTTGAGTAGGTGAAGAAAGCAGCTACAGCCGATCAATGTTCTATCATTCACAGTGCCATGCATCCGAAGTCCGAATGTCACTACCATCCTTCCACGTGAGGCCGTGACTGTATTTCTCGCTGAATTTAGCAATTTAAAAGTGAAGACCTCTTCCTCGCCAATGGCGAAGTTCCATCGAACATGGGGTATGGCATTGGAACTGGCATATGGTATAGTGATTTTATTGTGGAGAACTAGAAGTGTGAGTCTTGCAAATGATCCATGGGAGAGAGGGCAAGAAATTCCTTCTTCGACTCTGGCAAATCTCTTCTTTGCGCGGTTAATGGTATATACACAACCGCATCCATCTACAGTGGCGTAACCTTTACAAACGAATGAAAATGCTTTGACTTCATTTTCCCTATATGCCAGTTCCTTGGCCTTTGCTAAAATGCTTCACTAGGTCTGTCACTTGAAATAAATGAGTCAACTGGATCATCAACACCCACAGGGAATGCGGCCCTGTGATGAGAGAATTAGGTAGGGTGAGGAGGTTTACTTTCAGGCATGAAATATTTTACTTTCACGCAATGAAAAGAGGCAAGAGTAAAAGTACGAAAGAAAGAGAAGACTTATTAGGCTCGTTCGTTTGGCGGAAAATATTCTCCTTTTGGAAAATATTTTTCCGGAAGTCATTTTCCTGAAAAATGTTTTCCTTGAACACAATTTTCCGGAAGTCATTTTCCTGAAAAATGCTTTCCTGAAACACAATTTTCTGGTGTTCGGCTAAAATCTGAAAAAGTTTCGGAAAATATTTTCTGGTGTTCGGCGACCGCCAATTTGGCGGCGGCGATCGGCAACCGGCGGTGATCGGTGGCGGGGGGCGACGATCGGCAACCGGCGGCGGCGGGCGGCGATCGGCGGTGACCAACGACCGACGGCCGGCGGCAATGACTGACGGCCGGCGGCAATGACCGACGACCAATGGCCGGCGACCGGCAGTGGCCGACGATCGGCGGTGGCCGACGACCGACGGCCGGCGACCGGCGGTGGCCGACGATCGGCGGTGGCCGACGACCGACGGTGACCGGCGGTGGCCGACGATCGGCGGTGGCCGACGACCGACGGTGACCGTCGGCAGCGATCGGCGACCAGCGGCCGACGACGGTGACCGGCGATCAACTTCCTCTCCCACGGAAAACATTTTCCCTCCCATGGGCAATTTTCCTCTTTGTAAAAGAGGAAATTATTTTCTTCCAAAGTGAAGGCAAAATTGCCCATGAGAGGGAAAATGTTTTCCGTGGAAAGTTATTTTTCACCCCCCGAACACTGGAAAATCCGGAAAATATTTTCCTGGAAAACATTTTCCGCCAAACGAACGGAGCCTTAGAGTAGGATAAATCCGAAAAGAAAAAACTGAATTCTTAAAATTTGACCTAGCAAAATTCCCAACCAGCTAAAGCTATTATATCTGACATCATCATTTGGAGGATCGAAACCACGCTAAAGTAGCAAGAACAAGGCAGGTGAACAACACGTAATTTTCAACTCCGTGATCCAACAGAGGAGAAAAAACTGCCTTACGCGAGCAACAGCTAGCTCATGATGACGATTTAGTCATTCACAGTTGATTGCAAAACAAAGCACTGTATATCATGCTAAGCAAGGACCCTAAAACCCAGGAGAAAAAGTTAATAAACATCAAAATTCGCTAGAAGAGACTATGAAAATCGCACAATTCCAAAATGTAAAACCAATCCATGTATCATGTGGACTTGCCACCCCTGTTTATCTTTAACTCCGTTGAAAAGAATACTAAAAAAACCTTTTCTACTTTGACTGTAGCTGCTAAGTGCAGCGTGATGGAAAAAGTAATATGCTGAGAGTTCCTCTACTGCCCAAATAAAAAAGGAAAACTCCCTACTTTATATATTGCGAAAGCCACTTAAATCCATCGCCATACCCCATCTTACGGACAATACTACACATGAAAACCTCAATGGGTCGAATGTTGCCATCCGTGAGATTAACCTTCCCCTTGCCGGTTGTGAAGTTGGCCAAACCCAAATGATAGCATAACTCGTCTTCTGAGGCTGCATAAGGGATGTCAATCTTATTTCCTAGCACGAGAAATGGAACATTAGCCAGGGCTTCATCAGAAAGGAGCGCATCCAGCTCCCTCTTTGACTCAGCAAACCTCTCCTTGTCATAGGCATCCACCAGATACACCACAGCGTCCACCTGTTTTTAGTAAGAAAGATTCGTAAAGCCTTCAGCTATCTTTGACATGTGGCATCTTCAGAAAGTGGCAAACAAAACTACATCCAAGATGAGAACTTGAGCCAGCAAGAACTTGGAGATACACACAGTTGATGAACAAGGGCACTGGGCAGAACTTCGGTTAACATAGTGGAAGGGGCAAAAGCTGAATCGTAGGAAATTATGCTTATTCTAGAGTCTGGACTCATGACAATGCCAGAGATAAAGATATGTTCTGAGAAGGAAAGTAATGCCAACAACAAAGAACAATAACCAAATTTTAAAGATGCAAAGACATTCCCTTCCCGCTATTTGCCCCGTGTGGAAAAGGCACCGTCTTTCCCTCCAAAAAAAAAAAAAAGGTAATATGAAAAGGAAAAATTCCATAATGGCGAACAAACACCTCAAACTCTATATTACACTAAATCTTTTCTTAGTACCTCTAGGTATTGCTTTCCAAGTTCCAACTAAAATCACTCATAACAATAAAAACAGTGGGCTTTCAATAGGAACCTTAGGCATGCTCCGCTACTGCTATCATGTGATCGAGTCGCTTCATATTTACTAAACCAGACCAGGATCAAGAAAACCAGAAAATTTACAATCAAATCTACACAAGGTGGACAAAGGTATTGCAAAACAGGTCTGAAGCTGTTGACAGTACTGCAAGATGGAAAGGGCAAGATATGTTGGTGACAACTACAATTCCTGACAAAACCATCTAGTTGTAAGTAACAAGTGTGCCAATCAACTGTAGGCTTATGCTACTGAAACATCTAGACATTGACAAATCATGGAAAAACTCATAGAATTAACACCACAGCCTTGCTTCCTCCCTAGAATGAAACTAGCGTGCCCTATTCAATATCTCGAGAGACAGAAAGAGACAATGTACGGTTAGTTACTAACAGGACACCTCCCATCGAAACTGCAGTAGGTGCCACCACCGAGACTTTCCCCATCATTGTTTGCCTCCCATGAATCAGATAAACATAAGGAAGTCTATCTGGGATTATGAAGGCAGAATCTGTACAGCAAAAATTTGGCAAATGGAGACATGCCTTCTGGCTTCTTATATGGTGACCTACGACCGTTTTCAAAGTGCAAACAAGAAGCACGAGAACTCAACTCCACTAGAAAGCAGCACGGCAGCAACTAGACACGACGACAAATCGAAGGCAGATATGTGCCCCCAATCAAAGATTGAGGACCTAGACGTGTTCCTCGGATTCAGAAAACAAAGAAGAAAACGAGCACGGCCGGATGGATCTGGTCAAAACAGGAAGTCTAAGATGAAAATGCAGAGGCACAACAACCATCAGCATCCTATAAATCTTGAAACGAATTCAGATGCAAATCACCTAACCCCACAAATAGAGTTTTCAAAACCATCGATCATATACTCCAATTGACTGAGCCCATTGAACAGCGAAATGAGCGATCGTCATCACCCATTTCATTCCTTTCATACCTTCGCGTAGTAATCTTTCCAGACCCTCCGAGCAATCTGGTGACCACCCAGATCAAAAGCCTTGAACTTGATCTTCCCAATACTCAGCTCCTCCGACGTCGGATGCTGGGTCGGCTGGTGCTGCACCAATCTCTGAAAAAAAAAAAAACCCGCCAACACAAAAAAGAAATGAAACCCACAAACCCCATTCCGAAATCGTCAGAAACAACTCGGAAAGCCCAAAAAAACAGGGACATTATCACAAACAGTTGGCGCGCGTCCGGATCGACCCGGAACGAGGACGCACCTCGTCCTTCAGCATGTGGAGCAGCGTGGTCTTGCCGGCGTTGTCGAGGCCCAGGAACAGGATCTTGGCCTCCTTCTGCCACAGACCCAGCGACGCGAGGACGCCGTAGAACCAATCGAACAGGAACATCGCCGGCGTTCTTCCTCGGAGGAGGATCCTCCCTCCGTCCGGAGCGTTGAAGTTCGGTTGAAACGGGAGTCGTCGAAAGAATCAATCGGTCGAGGGCGGGGGGAGACGAGAAGAGGAAGATGAGATCTAAATAGGTCCGTTTCGGGAAGCGGCAGCAGGAGATCTTTGGAAAAAAAAATAAAGGGCAAAAAAAAATTAGAGGCACCGAAAGAATGAGTAGCATGCGGATTTGGTTACTCGAATTAGTCAAATTTGCTGGCCCAAAGAAAGTCAAACTTTGCATTTTGTTTGATTCCGTAAGTAGATTCAAATTTTGTTATAGTATAGTCTCTCGTGTTGATGGTTACATCTTGAAAAAAGGGAGGTAGTTGGCATGGCGATCAATGGAACCTTGTTTGTGCTCTACGAAGTCTTGAGTTTGCATCTCTGACTAAGCTTGTGCCGCATTGCCTCGTAGAGAGAGATTAAGTACCGGCGTCGTGGTGAGCTGTAGTGAAGGGCTCGTCGCCCTCGAACTTTTCAAGTCACGGATCGTGCAGGATAGTTTTCAACTTGAGCCGAACATTTCGGAAAGGGCGTAAGATCCTCACGATAACATTCAAAAGAGGTCGCCAGCATTGGGCTTCCCTCTTTGCCATTTCTCTTGTGAAAAAAATAATTATAATGCGATTTTTCTTTCTCTTTTGACATTGATTTTCTTTTGAAAGTCCCATAGCTCCACGGTCCATGTTTTTTTTTCCATCATTAGATTCACCAAAGCAATTCTCAATCGCCCGAGCGTTTTCATCACTTACGTGCCAACGGAAATGTGATTACAGTGCATCAAATCGACAAAAATAAAAATCCCTAAAGCTCACATACGTGTTCATTCTAGCTCGAGAAACTCTTCTCGTCAGCACATCGTACCTTGAATACGTGTCCCGAATCGGGAATCGAACTCGTGATCTCGAGGAAGGCAAAAGGGTTGCTTATAGAAGCCGGGTGGTTAGGTACAAGCTTCGCAGCAGCCGCCCGTTTCGCACGGGCCGTCAAGGCCCACGATCACATCTCTTTGGGCTCAAAGGAAGCCCTGAAGCTCGGGCAATAATATCCTCCACAGGCCCACGAGGCCATTCTCGTCTTTTCACAGCACGGCAGCTAGGGTTTCGGAATAAAACGGCATCACAAGAAGAAACGAAACCCCCACCCTGTCTCTCTCTAGCAGCAGCAGCGGAACCAGGAAGGACGAAGGAACCCTAGCTCGACCTCGGTAAGCCGCACGCCGTCTCTTCTCTTCGATTCGATTCGAGTCGAGTCGAGTCGAGTCGTCGCCGATCGGGTTTTGGGTCGCTGTTTTTGTTGCTGAAGATTTCGATCTTGAAGCTGCGGAATTTGGGTCTGATTCGATTCGTGTTTTGGGCAGAGGGGAGATGGCGAAGTCGAAGAACCACACCGCGCACAACCAGTCCTACAAGGCCCACAAGAACGGCATCAAGAAGCCGAGGAGGCACCGCCACACCTCCACCAAAGGGGTAATCACTGCCTTCCCCTCTCTCTCTGGTTTCTCGTGGTTTTTCGGCTGCTTATAGTTGGTCATTTTGCTGTGGTGGTTTCCAGATGGACCCCAAGTTCCTGAGGAACCAGAGGTACGCCAGGAAGCACAACCAGAAGACGGAAGGTGCATCCGAAGACGAGTAGACTAGCTTTTCTTCCGCACTGAAAAAGATGGCTTCTTTTTGGGGGGGCCGTCGATTACTAGGGGTTTGGTTTTGTTCCAGACATTATGTCAAAGTTTGATTTTTGATTCGTGATCTCCTTCAGTTTTACTGGGTTACATTTTGACTGCTATTGTAGTGACATTACTCTGTTTTTAAGCCATCTATTATCCATATCTGAATCTGGGTCGATGCTCGTGTTGTTTTCCTGATATGCATGATCAGGATTTTGAGCCTTATATTGCTCTCTCTTTGTGTATGCTTGCTGATTGTTGCTTGTCTTCTCTTCATGAGGAGTGGCTTACTAGAATGCTGAAAGTTTGGTAGATAGACATTAGGGCATTCCAGGATTTTTTGACAACCTATTACAAATTGGAAAAGATGGACAGATTCTGGATAAAATCGGAACATCTGAGGCTCGTCTCTTAGCTTATCTGTCCCCGCAGCGGTGTTGTTGAGGGTGCAATTGCTTGATGCATGGGGAATCTAAAGGAGGGTAGTAGTTTTTGTCAGTCTTGAATGGAAGGATGAGTTTGTGTTTTTTTTTTTTTTTTGGTCAGAAGAGTTTGTGTTTATTCGACATGATGTTTGAACCAATGGTTTTGAAGTTTTGTCGGTGAATTGAACTGGATGAGTCACAACGTTAGTTTTGAATCGCGTGGCTCTTGATTTTTTAAGCTCAAGCTTGTTTAGTGCAGGAAGGGTATTGCTTGAGCTTGAACTTGGGTTTGCTTAACAGAAGATAATACTGAAATTTAAAGTTAACCTACGACTCAATTAGGTCTTTTTAGGAAGTTGAGCTTGATTTCGTCATTTCAAGCTCACTCAATTCATCGTGTATGCTCGTGTTTTAGTTTTTTCTTTGACGGTTTGCAATGTTAGTGTTAAAATGGTCGCAAGAGGTTTTGAAGAACACTCGTCCAAATCCTAGTGGGGTTTTCGGAACATTTCCAGGAACGGGTGATACGGTAATTGTGTCATATTCTAGAGAGTTATTGACATAAATGTCCGTAATTGGTGGATATGAAGATGCGATCTTGGCCATTTGTTTAAGAGTAGATTAACGAATGTAATCTAAAGCAGAGGGTGTCCTTCTCATTTTGATCATCCAAACAACAGAAGTAATTTCTATTTTCTCCTAGAGCTTCTCCGGATGAGCGAGTGAGTGATCATGAAAGGGCTAATTGGCCACACGGGTTTGGGAACAACTCGAGTTTTGATTTCTCGACTTAATACCACATATGCTTACTCGAGCTGGAGGTAAACAACTCAATTTCAATCTGCATGGACCTTTGGTCAATTTCAATCTGCATGGACCTTTGGTTATTCAGCTAGAGATAACTTATATGCAGTATTGCAAGCAAGTTTGATTGAGGTTCCTCGATCACTTGTGTGGAGAAACCGTAAAGTACAGGTTACTATTTAATTAGGTTTGCTATCAACTTTTGTAAAGTGCTATGGAACTCAATCTCAACGCGGTTCAATTTTTTGAGTCACTTGATTCAAGTCGAAAAACTGTTTAGAGAGATTTAGATCGGATCAAGTCATGTTCGCCATTGGCTCCAACTACTTTTTAATTATGCAACCTATGTAGAGATGAATATGGTTTTTTAAGCATGTTTGTACAAGAATTTCAAACTCAAATTGGGTTTCTAGTGAATTCAATCCTTAATATATGGAGGCAACATATTAAAATATACCAAGTACATACATAAGCACTGAAACACATCATTTTCAGTTGGATAATTGACCCCTCAGAGAATTTCCATCCCTGTTTTCTTTTCGGCCAAAGAAAAGCCCATGTCGCTACATCATCCATCTAGTGTAATTCAGCCAAAGAACAAGTTAAGACTCGCGAGTTACAAACTGATTGACAGAACTCGATCGAAGATGAGCCTTGTTGGGGAAGCTCACTCCTCTACTCATTAGTCCTGGTTTTTCAAGCAGATGGGGCTTATCAAGCAGATAGGGCTTTCCAAGCATATGTTCAAATAACAATCAACTAATGCCTGACTAGTCTATAGAAACGTCTCGAGTTACGGTAGCTGAACGTTTGGTCTAATGCATGGACTAGTGTATTCTCTCCTCCCAGGCAAATGGATATAAAACAGCATCAATATGTGAACGTTTTTTTAATGCATGGACTAGTGTATTCTCTCCCAGGCAAATGGATATAAAACAGCAGCTCCACCATGTCATTTAACATGTTCTGTTCCTACAAGATCATGGAAATCAAGCAGCATAGGCTTGTGATGGTTGATTAACTGCAGAGCAGAATCAGGAAGTGGTATGGTGAGAATTTTTGCTTTTTATTGCTTTCAATGATCAAGTGTGCCTATACAAGAATGAATTTATGGTGGAAATTCTCCACAATCAGCTCTTTTCTATTGAGATCTCTAAAGCCCCGAAATATCCTCATATCCGAAATGGGAGAAAAGGAACCCTTCAAATAGTTAGCTCCAAAAACTCTATCTACAGAAAGAAAAAGGCGATCATCGCAACTCTTCACAGGCATTGTTGGCCAGAAATCTCCTAATCATGAAGCAGATAGCGTCCGTGCAAACCACTCTGATAAGCGCCTCATTTTCGATGAGAGATCTGGGCTTTTCCCAAAGTGAGTTTCAGCATTTGATAGCAGTACTCCAATATCATGCTTCACCGCCTCTGAACTTCGATAGTAGGTGTTTTCTAACCTTGCTTTAATCACCTCGAGAGTCAATGGAACTGGGAACCTGCAAAATTATTAGACATGACTCAATTCAGCGACAGCTCAATTTGTTAAATATCCAATTAGTATTCAAGTTATTGTTTGGGAATGGGGAACGGGAGATCCCAAACTGTAGTTTCATAACTTCTAAAATTGCATCTTTGGTGAATCCACATAAGCAAGAATTGAATACCAGTTCAACAGAAAAAGTATATACCTGTTAATGAAACCTGATTTCTCAGAAACCTGGGTCAACTTCTGTATGCCATAACGGTCCTGAATGTTGACCATAAAAGAAATTAGTCTTCAGAAACATTTACATTCTACGAATAAGCCAGCCACGTTTCTTATGCTTCCTAAAAATGCAGTACCTGGTTATAGTTCCCTGACTTCTCTAGCTTGTTAATGGCTGAGAGAAGTTTATTTCTGATCTCATCATCAATACACGGCTGCTCCCATTGTGTATCGGTGTCAAAAAGCTCCCACGGACTGTGACGATGCTTCTCCCTGGGATCACTCTTGTACTGGACAGTGTACCTCTCCCATGGACTATCTGGAAATTCAAGAGATTTAGGGTTCACAGAGACGATCCGACCCTCCCACCAACTACCGTCATCTTCGCCTTCATTTTTCCACCACACTCTGCATTTGTCCCGAACTGTCCAATTTCTCTGCGTAGTAGCCTCAAACCGAGTTCTTTCTACAAGGAAGTCTGGGAAGCCAGTCGCTTCAGGAAGAGTTAATTTAAACGATTTACGAAACACACTGGAAGCGGGATCAACAAATCGAAGTATCATTCTGCAGCAGCTTTCCCCAGACCCTGGATAAATGGCATATTCTAGGCTTTCAACTTTACAAAATTCCATTGGTCCAATGTTCCCCTTTATCATTGTCCAGGGGCCTCGTTCTTTGGAGCCACCACAATCAATAAATTCCTCATGCCCCTGAAAAGTTAAAGTTTAGTCATGGTATATAAGGAAATTCATCACATCCATATCCGCAGGAAATTAAATGGAAGATGTATGAAAGGTATTCCAGCCCAAGAAAACAATCACAATAAGTAAATACCAATTCACATACCTGTCTCAAATATACTACTTCATCCCCCTGCTGTGGAATGTAACGAGATCCATCTTCATGTGATGTCAACAACAACCATGAACCTTTCTTCGAGGATTGACTTGACTTCCTCCTTTCTATCGGAGGACTAGTGTCACGCAGGTGACAACTCGCTCTCCTGTTTCTAGTAGACCTCAATCCAACTGTTGCCTTTGAACTTGACCCCCATTCTTCACGTGGAAGCTCGCATCGACTAATGTGATTACTCTCAGAACCCTGTGATGGATCCTCTAATTCATGTTCATGACCCAACTCCATGTCTCCTATCCCAGTTTTTGCATCACATTTTCGAAGCCTCATCTTCAGTCCCATGGACTGTGGCTTATGCAATGAATCAGGAGATCCTCCGAGTAAGTCCATTTGAGCACCGTTTGCATTTGAAGTACTTTCTCCCACTCCACTAGCATCTCCTTCTAAATTAGTCCTACTTCTAGTTGATTTCGACCTTCTATATACAGCACTAAAGATCCTGTTCGCATTCGAATGCAAGTTTGAGTTAGGTAGAGTCGAACCAGATATATCATTGTTATTGTCTGAACCTATTAATCCGTTATCTCCTTTTGCTAGACTGATTCTCTTGTTCTGGTTATGGGCAGGCACTTGGGCAATATCCTGTTCCATGCACAAATGGTTCTCACAGGTTTCATCATGCAAACCACTTTTACAGTCATTAGTCAAGTTTCTCAGCTCTTGCTTCATAGCATCAGCAGAGTCAGTTGTAACTCCTGATCTATTTTTCACCTCACTGGAGAATGGTTTAAGGCTCCCCTCAACATCATAGAGCTGCTCAGCTCCCTCCCCTACAAGAGCAGGAGATCTATCCTCAGAAGGAATAAAAACCTCCTCTAATGAATCATCATCAACACTGCATTTAATCACTTTGGGGTGCTCCAGGCCATTTACTGCACCACCCAAATTCTCGCATGTTCCATTATCAAAACTTCTCTGATTCATGCATGTAGCTTCTTCATTTGTTTTAGCCCTATCACCCTGAACTTCTGAAAGTCTTTCAAGTTTTAAAATTCCATTCTCCTTATTTTCGCTCCTGTCATGAGCTACAAGATGTGAACTAGTCTCCCCACATGGCACTGCTGATGCTGTTTCTCCCAGTCTTGGTCGTTTTGCTGAGCGCGCTTTGGCACCTCCCCACTTAATTTTACCATTCTGGTATGCAAGACTCAGCTTTATGTGATCAACATTACTCTCACTTTCTTTTCGTTCTTTCTCAACTGTTTTGCAATTGGCATTAGCGGAAGACTCTGGATTCTGTTCATTTAAACGAATGCTGCTCCCTCCAGTAATGTCTCTAGGAATCCCGGATGATGAACCGACAAACTTGGGTAGGCTGTC